GGTGTATACCAGCATGTAGTGTCTCTACTTTAAAGAGTCCTCTCCTGCTGATGTTCAGGTGTATATCAGTATGTAGTGTCTCTACTTTAAAGAGTCCTCTCCTGCTGATGTTCAGGTGTATATCAGTATGTAGTGTCTCTACTTTAAAGAGTCCTCTCCTGCTGATGTTCAGGTGCATATCAGTATGTAGTGTCTCTACTTTAAAGAGTCCTCTCCTGCTGATGTTCAGGTGTATATCAGTATGTAGTGTCTCTACTTTAAAGAGTCCTCTCCTGCTGATGTTCAGGTGTATATCAGTATGTAGTGCCTCTACTTTAAAGAGTCCTCTCCTGCTGATGTTCAGGTGTATATCAGTATGTAGTGTCTCTACTTTAAAGAGTCCTCTCCTGCTGATGTTCAGGTGTATATCAGTATGTAGTGTCTCTACTTTAAAAAGTCCTCTCCTGCTGATGTTCAGGTGTATATCAGTATGTAGTGTCTCTACTTTAAAGAGTCCTCTCCTGCTGATGTTCAGGTGTATATCAGTATGTAGTGTCTCTACTTTAAAGAGTCCTCTCCTGCTGATGTTCACGTGTATATCAGTATGTAGTGTCTCTACTTTAAAGAGTCCTCTCCTGCTGATATTCAGGTGTATATCAGTATGTAGTGTCTCTACTTTAAAGAGTCCTCTCCTGCTGATGTTCAGGTGTATATCAGTATGTAGTGTCTCTACTTTAAAGAGTCCTCTCCTGCTGATGTTCAGGTGTATATCAGTGTGTAGTGTATCTACTTGAAAGAGTCCTCTCCTGCTGATGTTCAGGTGTATATCAGTGTGTAGTGTCTCTACTTTAAAGAGTCCTCTCCTGCTGATGTTCAGGTGCATATCAGTATGTAGTGTCTCTACTTTAAAGAGTCCTCTCCTGCTGATGTTCAGGTGTATATCAGTATGTAGTGTCTCTACTTTAAAGAGTCCTCTCCTGCTGATGTTCAGGTGTATATCAGTATGTAGTGTCTCTACTTTAAAGAGTCCTCTCCTGCTGATGTTCAGGTGTATATCAGTATGTAGTGTCTCTACTTTAAAGAGTCCTCTCCTGCTGATGTTCAGGTGTATATCAGTATGTAGTGTCTCTACTTTAAAGAGTCCTCTCCTGCTGATGTTCAGGTGTATATCAGTATGTAGTGTCTCTACTTTAAAGAGTTCTCTCCTGCTGATGTTCAGGTGCATATCAGTATGTAGTGTCTCTACTTTAAAGAGTCCTCTCCTGCTGATGTTCAGGTGTACATCAGTATGTAGTGTCTCTACTTTAAAGAGTCCTCTCCTGCTGATGTTCAGGTGTATATCAGTATGTAGTGTCTCTACTTTAAAGAGTCCTCTCCATAATAACAATAATAACAACAATAATAATAATATTGGTGAAGGTTGTTTACTGGATAGTATTTCCTGCTGCACCATCTGAAGGCCGCTATGTTCGCTATGTGGATCATTTGAGACACTCGACCCCCCCCCGTCCTGCGTCCAAAACCAACCCCCCCCCCAACAGGCTGTAAATATAACCTCCACACAGGGGGGGGGGGGGGGAGGGTATAAAAGGGAGATGAGGCTGAGGTCTGAGGTTATACTCAGAGACACAAACTGTGACTGCAGGACCTCCACGTCTTCGTTTATGTCTCCTCAGGTGTGTTAATGTCTCCTCAGGTGTGTTAATGTCTCCTCAGGTGTGTTAATGTCTCCTCAGGTGTGTTTATGTCTCCTTCAGGTGTGTTAATGTCTCCTCAGGTGTGTTTATGTCTCCTTCAGGTGTGTTAATGTCTCTTCAGGTGTGTTAATGTCTCCTCAGGTGTGTGTTAATGTCTCCTCAGGTGTGTGTTAATGTCTCCTCAGGTGTGTGTTAATGTCTCCTCAGGTATGTGTTAATGTCTCCTTCAGGTGTGTTAATGTCTCCTCAGGTGTGTTATTGTCTCCTCAGGTGTGTTTATGTCTCCTCAGGTGTGTTTATGTCTCCTTCAGGTGTGTTAATGTCTCCTCAGGTGTGTTTATGTCTCCTCAGGTGTGTTAATGTCTCCTCAGGTGTGTTAATGTCTCCTCAGGTGTGTGTTAATGTCTCCTCATGTGTGTTAATGTCTCCTCAGGTGTGTGTTAATGTCTCATGTGTGTTAATGTCTCCTCAGGTGTGTTAATGTCTCCTCAGGTGTGTTAATGTCTCAGGTGTGTGTTAATGTCTCCTCAGGTGTGTTAATGTCTCCTCAGGTGTGTGTTAATGTCTCCTCAGGTGTGTTTATGTCTCCTCAGGTGTGTTAATGTCTCAGGTGTGTGTTAATGTCTCCTCAGGTGTGTTAATGTCTCCTCATGTGTGTTAATGTCTCCTCAGGTGTGTGTTAATGTCTCCTCAGGTGTGTTTATGTCTCCTCAGGTGTGTTAATGTCTCCTCAGTATGTGTATGATCTGATATATGATGAACAGGATCTAACAGCTGTCCCCTTCTCTTCCTCAGGTGACCTTCTGTCTGTAACACCCCCCCCCCCCAGGTGTGACCATGCCCTGGCTTGTCTCCTCTCAGCTGGACTTCCTGTCCTCGTCTCCGTCTCAGCGTGAATGTGAACGGACGTCCTTCTCGTTCTACTGCTCGGTGCGGGACCTGCTGCCGGTGTGGCTGCTGGAGGAGCAACGCAGCATGGAGACGTTCAGCTGGGAGGACGGGCCTCGAGGCTTCCTCCCTGCAGAGGCTCTGCTGTACGCTGTGGTTCACGACCACCAGGACTACGCCTCCTTTTTGCTGCATCACTTCTCCGTCAGCGCGCTCAGAGCGCCGCCCTGCAGCTTCTGCTGCTGCAGCGGGGGGGCGCCGCACCTGAGCGTGGCCGTGCGCTACGACCGGCTGCACATCCTGGCTCTGATGCTGGAAGCTCTGAAGGACTGCAGCGAGAGGCGGGACTTCCTGGACGGCTGCGCCGGCTGCTCGCATTCTGCGGACGCAGGGAAGAGTGCGGTGCAGCTGGCGGTGGAGCTGTCTCGCTCCGACTGCCTGCTGCTGCTGCTGAGTCACGGTGCTGCGCCCGCAGGCCTGGAGGCCGCGCTGCAGCGCCTCAGCAGCGCCTCAGAGCTCAGCTCCTGCGAAGCCTCAGAGCTCAGGCAGGCGCAGCGCTGCATGGACTTCCTGCTGCTCTTCCTCCCCTCGCCCCCCCCGCTCTGCTGCCTTCAGGACGAGCCGCAGCGCTGGCAATGCCTTCTGGGAAACGAAGTCTTCAGGTGGCTGTCTGGCCTGGCTCCGCCCCCCCTCTTGCTGCAGGCCCTCAGGTGTTTGGCCCGGTCCGGCCCGGGTCAGATCAGCGCGCTGCCTGACTTCCTGCAGCGGCACAGCTGGCAGTGAGGTCATCGTCACCATGGAAACGGTGTGCTTATGATGTAAATAAATGTAAATAAAGACTGAAACACGGAAGGATACCCGGCGGGCTTCAGGACCCTGAGGAGACTGAATGATTGGCTCTTCCCTCTGATGGACCGTTAGATGGAGACATCTATATTAAAGGACACCTATCATGCTATATTTGAACAATATATTGTAGGGCCATACCTATATAAAGTATATAAATATAGTTTTATTTTCAAAATACCAAACAGATCCTGCATTTTAGCCATGCCTCATTTCGCTCCATTTTGCTCTTTCCAGCCCTGTTTTTACAGGGGGCTGATTCTGTGAGCTGCAGCTGACCACGCCCCCCTGCAGGAGAGGGGAGCCGCTCTGATCAAGTCAGAAGAGGGGGAGAAAAATGATCTCCGTCCTCCGTGTTTTATTTATATATACAGTCTATGGTTTTATTATATTATTATAGGCCTATAGAGTCGTTATTCATTTGTTTTAAAGCTCAATAAATAACAAAGAAGACCTTTGACCGGCACTTTTCTAATTTTGTCCGGAAGATTTAAACTTTAACGGACATGTTGACCGGCGAAAGAAAACCTAACTGAAACTCTGCCGCACGGTCCCCTCGTTCCTTGGAAGAGGCGGAGAGGTGGGTGTTTGTCATCTGCTGGTGGACTAACCGGAGAGAATTACAGTGCTTGCCTCGACGGGGAGGGATTGCATTGAATTAAAGCAGCAGGAGCAAACGCTTGCGTCGGGGAGGGAGAAAGAAAGCCACAGCGGAGAATAAACAGAAGGGTAACCATGGTAACCATATGCGCGGGAAGTCTTCTTCGCTGCTTTTGTGGCAGACTACAGCGCCACTTACAGGCCTGGCATATGTACTACAGCGTCTCCAGCGCTTTCGAGCGGCAATGGCCGGCCGTGGCCCAACCCCACATTCCCCTGATTGGTGGAGTTGGCCCAATAGCCGTAGCGCCACCGTCCTGACGTCAGGACAGTGTTCAAATCTGGATCAGTCTGTATCAGATCCGTTGCAGCCCCTTTTTTAGAGACTTTGGGTATGGAGGAAAATAGAGAGGGTTGTGTTTTCTGACACTTGGTGAGTTCCCTGGAACACCGGGGACACATATTCATGTAGAAAAGACGTACAAAAGTGCATTTTGCATGATAGGTCCCCTTTAAAGTGCTTTATGATAAATGGGTCATATTGATCTTCACTATTATTCATGTTAAATTAAATACTCTAACATCTTAAAACAAGTCGGGTCAGAATCTACCTGATGTTTTGAACAAAGAAGAAACTTATAATATATAATATAATAAAGTTTCATGGCTGTAAAGAATATTACTGACTTAGTTTGTGTTTGATTAACTCTGTAAATAAAATAAATAGTTAAACAATAAAAAGTGTATTTTTGTTTCTGTAAATATGGAAACACACACACACACACACACACACACACACACACACACACACACACACACACACACACACACACACACACACACACACACACACACACACACACACACACACACACACACACACACACACACACACACACACACACACACACACACACACCACACACACACACACACACACACACACACACACACACACACACACACACACACACACACACACACACACACACACACACACACACACACACACACATTTCATGAACAACAGACGACCTGTTTCTACGTGTTTATTGATTTACGGGTGAGTTTACACTGAAATCTGATTGGTCTGCAGCAGCCAATCAGTTTACACCACAGCTGCACAGGTGGGAAGTGTTTGATATAAATCCAGGGTTAATCTCAGTTTAACGACTTCAACAGAACATTAATTACATTTTTACATCTGTCCCCCGGGAGGAGAACCACAAACAATCAGTTTCACCGGTTAGTTTCACCGGTTAGTTTAATCACTGTAACCAGTGGAACCAGTGGAACCAGTGGAACCAGACAAGACAGAAGACAGTATCAGAGATTAAATATCTAAATGTTTGTAGATTTAAAATCTGTTTTAATCTCTAGTTATTTCACCTTTGATGGTTAGCCTGAAGATAACATGTCAAACTAATCTGAACCATATGAGTTATAGTTAGCATGAGGAACGTACCTAAAGTAACCAGTGGAACCAGTTTGAGTCTTTAAACTGGTTCCCAGTGGAATAAAGACGGTCCCTTTAATGTCCTTCAGAGCGAGTTCCTGTGTCCTTTCAGAATAAAGTGCTTTCTTGGTAAAACCAAAATAAAGTCCCATCTCCCAGCAGCCACCATGTTCAGTGATGTCACTCCTCAGATGAGCTCCCATTCGTCATCGTCCCCGCTGAGGGAGGGGCCTGAGGGGGAGGGTCTACCGATGGTCTGTGGGAGGAGCTTCGTCAGGCGGCGGGACAACCCACCACTCAGAGTGACCGCCCACAGCTCGTCATCCGGAGTTACTGGGACACAAATAACAACAAATAACAAATAAATCAATATAAACCAGTATCGATATAGAGCAGTATAGATATAGAGCAGTATAGATATAGAGCAGTATAGATATAGAGCAGTATAGACACACCTGTTAACCAGTTGGTGTTTCCAGGTATTTTCTTCCAGTAATCTCCGGCGGGGTTCCGGTCCGAGACGCCGTACCGCCTGGCCACGTCTCCGTTAGGGCATCGAACCAGAACTGTCCTGCAGCTCAGAACCAGCTGACTGACGAGCAGCCCTGAGTACACACAGTACACAGTTAGGTACACACAGTACACAGTCAGGTACACACAGTACACAGTCAGCAGTAGACAGTCAGGTACACACAGTAGTAGTACACAGTCAGGTACACACATTACACACAGTAAACAGTCAGGTACACACAGTACACAGTCAGGTACACACAGTACACACAGTAAACAGTCAGGTACACACAGTACACAGTCAGCAGTACACACATTACACACAGTAAACAATCAGGTACACACAGTACACAGTCAGGTACACACAGTAAACAGTCAGGTACACACAGTACACAGTCAGGTACACACAGTACACAGTCAGGTACACAGTCAGGTACACACACTACACACAGTAAACAGTCAGGTACACACAGTACACAGTCAGATACACACAGTAAACAGTCAGGTACACATAGTACACAGTCACGTACACACAGTACACAGTCAAGTACACACAGTACACAGTACACAGTCAAGTACACACAGTACACACAGTAAACAGTTAGGTACACACAGTACACAGTCAGGTACACACAGTAAACAGTCAGGTACACATAGTACACAGTCACGTACACACAGTACACAGTCAAGTACACACAGTACACAGTACACAGTCAGGTACACACAGTAAACAGTCAGGTTCACACAGTACACAGTCAGGTACACACAGTACACAGTCAGGTACACACAGTACACAGGCAGGTACACACAGTACACAGTCAGGTACACATAGTAAACAGTCAGGTACACACAGTACACAGTCAGGTACACACAGTACATAGTCAGGTACACACAGTACACAGGCAGGTACACACAGTACACAGTAAAGTGTGCACAGTACAGTACTGTAAAGAGTTTACAGATACCCTCCCCCTTTATGAACAACAGGTGAGTTTACCTGGCACCGCCTCCCAGTCCGTCCCCACTGGCATCTCGTCACTGAGGCCGGTTCTCACCAGAACACTGCCTCTGTTGTCCAGAGCCCATAGCAACCGGTCGTTAGGGGAGGTCTGCACGCTCACCAGCTGCACTCCTATTGGCTGAGAGGACGTGAGGTCACACTTCTGTTACCTGTACAGGTGGTTCTATGAGTCTTTGTTACCTGTACAGGTGGTTCTATGAGTCTTTGTTACCTGTACAGGTGGTTCTATGAGTCTTTGTTACCTGTTCAGGTGGTTCTATGAGTCTCTGTTACCTGTACAGGTGGTTCTATGAGTCTTTGTTACCTGTACAGGTGGTTCTATGAGTCTGTGTTACCTGTACAGGTGGTTCTATAAGTCTTTGTTACCTGTACAGGTGGTTCTATGAGTTTCTGTTACCCCTCCTCTGTTACCTGTACAGGTGGTTCTATGAGTTTCTGTTACCCCTCCTCTTCTCCTTGTACACAAACTCGCTCGGATCAGTCATTAGCCCGCATGGTTTTTCATACCACTGCTACGCTGACGACACCCAATTCATTCTGTCCTTTCCCCGCTCAGAGACCCAGGTCGTCGCACGCATCTCTGCTTGTCTAGCAGACATCTTTTGCTTGTCTAGCTGACATCTCTCAGTGGATGTCTGCTCACCACCTCAAGCTCAACCTTGACAAGACTGAACTGCTTTTCCTTCCGGGAAAAGATTGTCCCACTCTTGACCTAACAATCAACATCGGCCCCTCTGTTGTTTCCCCGACTCAGACTGCAAGGAATCTGGGTGTGACCCTAGATAACAACCTGTCCTTCACTGCAAACATCGCTGCTACAACCCGCTGCTGCAGATACACGCTTTACAACATCAGGAGGATACGTCCCCTCCTGACTCAGAAAGCCACGCAGGTTCTGGTCCAGGCTCTCGTCATCTCACGCCTAGACTACTGCAACTCCCTCCTGGCTGGTCTACCTGCATGTGCCATCCGACCTCTGCAGCTCATCCAGAATGCAGCGGCTCGTCTGGTCTTCAACCTTCCTAAATGTTCCCACACCACGCCGCTCCTCCGCTCCCTTCACTGGCTTCCAGTAACTGCTGGAATCCACTTCAAGACACTGGTACTAGCGTACCATGCTGTGAATGGATCTGGCCCTTCCTACATCCAGGACATGGTGAAACCGTACACCCCAGCACGTGCACTCCGCTCTGCATCGGCCAAACGGCTCACTGCACCCGCACTGCGAGGGGGACCCAAGTTCCCATCAGCAGAAACACGTGGGTTTGCTATCCTGGCTCCAAAATGGTGGAATGAGCTCCCCATTGACATCAGGACAGCAGAAAGCTTACACATCTTCCAGAGCAGACTGAAAACTCATCTCTTTCCACTCCACTTTGAGCGATAGAATTACTTACAGAGCACTTAGATACTAACTAAGGACTGGCTTATCTAAAGCCAGTTGAGTAGCACTTGAAATGTTGTGGCTCTATGAAACCTGATGTACTTATATGATTCTGTTTTCTTCTAGTTTGTATCTTCTTGGTCGAATGCACTTATTGTAAGTCGCTTTGGATAAAAGCCTCAGCTAAATGTGATGTGATGTACAGGTGGTTCTATGAGTCTCTGTTACCTGTACAGGTGGTTCTATGAGTCTCTGTTACCTGTACAGGTGGTTCTATCTGTATCCAGGCTGGCAGCATCATGCTGGGGTTCATAGGCTGGGTTCCCACCCTGAAGTAAACGTTTCCTCTTCCGTCCACGGCCCAGATGTTCTGGCGGCCGCAGCTCACACTGACCAGACGGACACTTCCTGCACACGCGCGCGCACACACACACACACACACACACACACACACACACACACACACACACACACACACACACACACACACACACACACACACACACACACACACACACACACACGAGGAGTCAGTAACTCTGAAGAGACATTCAAAACAAAAATATAAAACCCCTGATGAGCAACACTCTCAGAAACATGGCTCCACACAGCTGACATTTAAACGTTTACATTACCACAACAGTCATGTGGTCTCTAAAAACAGACACACACACACACACACACACCGTGTTGACCTCTGAATCCCAGCCGTGTTACACAACCTCCACCTGTCAGTGTGACAGAGGAACACAGCTGTGTGTGTGTGTGTGTGTGTGTGTGTGTGTGTGTGCGTCATAGTGTAACCTGACCCCTGAATGATGTCACACAGGAACCCCCCCCACACTGTGTTTACATCACCATCAGTATTCTGGTCTCTCAGGAACGTACCGAGCTGGCTGAGGTCCAGCAGGGTCCAGCTGAGTCCAGAGGGACAGGACGGAGACAGAGTCCTGATACTGACCCGGCCCTGAGAGTCCAGAACCCACAGAGCATCAGGACAGGCAGACAGGTGGAACACCTCCATCTGCAGGAGAACATCAGAGGGGAACAGACAGGGGAACATCAGGAGAACACAGGACAACATCAGGAACCAGTATTTAACTTCTGAGAAAAGGATCAACATTCTGCAGAACCCAACATAACAAGCGCTATGAGTCTTGTCCCTTTGCTAAGAGAATATGTGCCAAAGGGGAGACAGAACCCGGAACCTTAAGGGCCTGGGTTATGCTACATCAGCAGAACATCAGGAGAACATCAGCAGAACATCAGTAGAACATCAGCAGAACACCAGGAGAACATCAGCAGAACATCAGCAGAACATCAGTGGAGTCAGACTCGGAGACAGGCAGACAGGTGTTCTTACTTCAGGTGGAAGAGGGACCGAGGAGGGGCGAAGTTCTCCGTCCTGATCCCAAACACAGAACAGGTCCTTCCTGCTCTGAGCCAACCACAGGAGGGAACCTGAGACAGACCAGGATCAGCTGATCAGGGTTACACAGGAGGTGGTTCTCAGGTAAAGACTTGTTCAGGACTAGTTGTTGTGTTACCTTCTCTGTGAGGCACAGCTGAAGACGTGATGAAGGTCCACCTGGTGCTGGACACGGTTCCTCTTGGAACCACGTTCTGCCAGAAGGTTCCTAAAAGAGATGAAGCAGAGGGACTGAGAACCAGGAACCTGAAGATGTTCTAGAGTATGTTATGCTCCTTCATGGTACTGACCCACCAAGCTGCCGCGGGCCAGGTGCAGCTGGTTCCTCCCCGAGGCGACCCAGACCCCCCTCTGGTTGGCGCTCACCAGACTGGGCTGGCACTGGGAGTGCTGCGACAGGAAGGCCACCACGCGCTCCACGGGGGCCCGCGTTACCGTGGCAACACTCTGGGTCGCTGCCAGCAGAGTCTGGATCAGGCTTCCCTGATCGAAGACCACGTAGTCCGAGATACTGATCTGAGAGAAAGACAGGGCGTGAGACAGGTAGGAAGGCAGACAGGCAGAGATTGAGACAGGCAGAGAGTGGGACAGGCAGAGAGTGGGACAGACAGACAGGCAGAGATTGAGACAGGCAGACAGGCAGAGAGTGGGACAGACAGACAGGCAGAGATTCAGACAGGCAGACAGGCAGAGAGTGGGACAGACAGACAGGCAGAGAGTGGGACAGACAGACAGGCAGAGAGTGGGACAGACAGACAGACAGACAGGCAGACAGGCAGAGAGTGAGACAGGCAGGCAGTGAGACAGGCAGATAGTGGGACAGACAGACAGGCAGAGAGTGGGACAGACAGACAGGCAGAGAGTGGGACAGGCAGAGAGTGGGACAGACAAACAGGCAGAGAGTGAGACAGACAGACAGGCAGAGAGTGGGACAGGCAGAGAGTGAGACAGACAGACAGGCAGAGAGTGGGACAGGCAGAGAGTGAGACAGACAGACAGGCAGAGAGTGAGACAGGCAGATAGTGGGACAGACAGACAGGCAGAGAGTGGGACAGACAGACAGGCAGAGAGTGGGACAGGCAGAGAGTGGGACAGACAAACAGGCAGAGAGTGAGACAGGCAGAGAGTGGGACAGACAAACAGGCAGAGAGTGAGACAGGCAGAGAGTGGGACAGACAAACAGGCAGAGAGTGAGACAGGCAGACAGGCAGAGAGTGAGACAGGCAGAGAGTGGGACAGACAAACAGGCAGAGAGTGGGACAGACAGACAGACAGAGAGTGAGACAGGCAGAGAGTGGGACAGACAGACTCTACCTGCCACCAGTGGTCGTCCTCCCCCTGAGGTCTGGATGGACAGATCCCAGTTCTGAACCAGAGGCTGCCGCTGGCGTCCAGAGCCCAGGCTGTCCCCCCCTCAGCCAGAGACACACACATCAGGTCCAGTCCCTGAGCCTCACTACAGAGAGGGAGACAGACAGGGAGACGTAAGTAAGTATTACAGTAGTAGTGATATTACAGTAGTAGTAGTAGTATTACAGTAGTAGTAGTATTACAGTAGTAGTATTACAGTAGTAGTATTACAGTAGTAGTGGTAGTATTACAGTAGTAGTAGTATTACAGTAGTAGTGGTAGTATAACAGTAGTAGTATTACAGTAGTAGTATTACAGTAGTAGTGGTAGTATAACAGTAGTAGTATTACAGTAGTAGTATTACAGTAGTAGTACGAATGACCAATCAAATCTTCCCTCTAAATGGGTGGGCTTTATTTTCGCGGACTTTATGACAAGATCCGCCCGCTGTGAAGTTTATGCATGTGTGTTATAGAGAGGTGCAGTGACGCGTCCTAAAACCCGGAAGTAAGCTGCGCATTGGTTCCCTCCACAAAAAAGCAATGGGATTTCTCCATAGGATTTTGGAAACTAGCTGGAAATAAGGTCTGTGGAAAACGAACCTGTTTGACAAATGCACGTTATGTTCAGCCGGATAATATCCACATGTCTACCCTACTTTTATAATTTTCTAATCATAAATCTAATCGATAGATTTATGATTAGCACAAGTTCGTTCATGATGGCTCATGTCAGTGATAGTGATGACATCGTTGCGAAATTATTAACCGAGTGATTTTCAAGATTGAGTTACAATGATAAATTGGAGTGGCAAAGGATCAGCTGCATGACCCGCCATCAAGTGCTTCATCCAGAAGGACACGAGGATGGACTTTGTGTTTCAGTGAGTAGTAGTGGTAGGATAACAGTAGTAGTATTACAGTAGTAGTGGTAGTATTACAGTATTAGTAGTATTACAGTAGTAGTGGTAGTATAACAGTAGTAGTGGTAGTATAACAGTAGTAGTGGTAGTATTACAGTAGTAGTAGTATTACAGTAGTAGTAGTAGTATAACAGTAGTAGTGGTAGTATAACAGTAGTAGTATTACAGTAGTAGTGGTAGTATAACAGTAGTAGTGGTAGTATTACAGTAGTAGTAGTATTACAGTAGTAGTGGTAGTATAACAGTAGTAGTGGTAGTATTACAGTAGTAGTAGTAGTATAACAGTAGTAGTAGTATTACAGTAGTAGTGGTAATATTACAGTAGTAGTAGTAGTATTACAGTAGTAGTAGTATTACAGTAGTAGTGGTAGTATAACAGTAGTAGTATTATTACAGTATTAGTAGTATTACAGTAGTAGTAGTATTACAGTATTAGTAGTATTACAGTAGTAGTAGTAGTATTACAGTAGTAGTAGTATTACAGTAGTAGTGGTAGTATAACAGTAGTAGTATTATTACAGTATTAGTAGTATTACAGTAGTAGTAGTATTACAGTAGTAGTGGTAGTATTACAGTATTAGTAGTATTACAGTAGTAGTAGTATTACAGCAGTAGTGGTAGTATTACAGTAGTAGTGGTAGTATAACAGTAGTAGTGGTATTACAGTATTAGTAGTATTACAGTAGTAGTAGTAGTATTACAGTAGTAGTGGTAGTATTACAGTATTAGTATTACAGTAGTAGTATTGCAGTGGTAGTATTACAGTAGTAGTATTACAGTAGTAGTAGTAGTATTACAGTAGTAGTGGTATTACAGTAGTAGTAGTAGTAGTAGTATAACAGTAGTAGTAGTAGTATTACAGTAGTAGTAGTATTACAGTAGTAGTGGTAGTATTACAGTATTAGCAGTATTACAGTAGTAGTAGTATTACAGTAGTAGTGGTAGTATAACAGTAGTAGTGGTAGTATTACAGTAGTAGTATTATTACAGTAGTAGTGGTAGTATTACAGTAGTAGTATTATTACAGTAGTAGTGGTAGTATAACAGTAGTAGTAGTATTACAGTAGTAGTAGTATTACAGTAGTAGTGGTAGTATTACAGTAGTAGTGGTAGTATTACAGTATTAGTATTACAGTAGTAGTATTGCAGTGGTAGTATTACAGTAGTAGTATTACAGTAGTAGTAGTATTACAGTATTAGTAGTATTCAGAATCAGAATCCCTTTATTCGTCCCACAGAGGGGAAATGTACATTTGTTCCAGCAGAAAAAGAGCCAAAGAGAGCTTAATGTTTAACACGAAGTATGCATACAAAAACAGAACAAAAATATTAAAGATTACAAAAAAAATACACAGCTTGTAACAGTTCTGAAGATGTAGTAGCCATATTGCAGTTATTCACGGAATATATTACAGTAGTAGCAGGGTCATTACCTGACGGTGTCGTACTTCCAGCCCCCCCCCCTCGCTGCAGTAGCTGGTGACCCCCTCCCTGTAGAACAGAGCCTTGTGTTCGCTGAGAGCCCACACTGCCCCCCCGCTCACACACACCTGGCTGAACACACAGGGGACGTCCACCTGGACAGAGCGAGCACATGGACGCTCCACACTGAGACCTGAGAGACAAACGGGTCAGAGGACAGAGAGACAGGTCAGAACTGAGAAAAGAGGGTCACATGATCATAGGATCACTTGATCAGAGGGTCACCTGATCAGAGGGTCACTTGATCAGAGGGTCACTTGATCAGAGGGTCACTTGATCAGAGGGTCCCTTGATCAGAGGGTCACTTGATCAGAGGGTCACTTGATCAGAGGGTCACTTGATCAGAGGGTCACTTGATCAGAGGGTCCCTTGATCAGAGGGTCACTTGATCAGAGGGTCACTTGATCAGAGGGTCACTTGATCAGAGGGTCACTTGATTAGAGGGTCACTTGATCAGAGGGTCACTTGATTAGAGGGTCACTTGATCAGAGGGTCCCTTGATTAGAGGGTCACTTGATCAGAGGGTCACTTGATCAGAGGGTCACTTGATCAGAGGGTCACTTGATCAGAGGGTCACTTGATCAGAGGGTCCCTTGATCAGAGGGTCACTTGATTAGAGGGTCACTTGATCAGAGGGTCCCTTGATTAGAGGGTCACTTGATCAGAGGGTCACTTGATTAGAGGGTCACTTGATCAGAGGGTCCCTTGATTAGAGGGTCACTTGATTAGAGGGTCCCTTGATTAGAGGGTCACTTGATCAGAGGTTCACATGATCAGGTTAACACAGACAGTGTCAGGGAGCCCCCTGCTGCCCACACACAGACATTACACCTGCTGTTAAAGGAAGAGCACCTGTGTCTAAATGTGAGTCGGGGGAAAAACAGCTAATCAGTTAGCCAAAACCAGTTAGCTGTCTGCAGGTAGTTACAGGGACAGTGAGACAGGTACCTGTCTGCAGGTAGAGGTCTCCGTTGGTCCTGATGATCCAGGCAGAGTCGTCGCTCAGAGCCACGAAGGCCGTCTGCTCCGTGGCTTTGTACCAGTGCCGCTTCCCTTTAGCGGACACTTTAGCGCAGGCGAACGCTGTCAGGGTCTTTTGCTCCACCTTCCACAGCAGGTTACCTGGGGAGGGACAAATTAAGGTTAAAGAAATGAAAACTGGGACCAGCAGCGTGAGGCGCAACACTTACAGGTAAACCAGGAGTGATGACAGCAGCTCACCTGAGGGGGACACCGCCACCTGGTGGACGTTGTCTTCAAAGCGCTGCCAGTTCAGCCCAGTTTCAGGCAGACTGCTGCAGAACAGACCTCCTTTGAAATCCAGACACCAAACATACCTGAAACACAGAAACACACCTAGACCTTAGATACCCGAGACCACCAACTGACAGTCACCTGAGACCACCCAACTGTCAGTTGCGCGAGACCACCCACCTGTCACACACCTGAGACCAGTCACCTAAGACCACCCATCTGTCACCTGAGACCATCCACCTGTCACTCACCTGAGACCACCCACCTGTCACTCACCTGAGACCACCCACCAGTCACCTAACACTACCCACCTGTCACCTGAGACCACCCACCTGACAGTTACCGGACACCACCCACCTGACAGTTACCGGACACCACCCACCTGTCAGTCAACTGAGAATCCCCATTTGTCTGTCCCCTGAGACCACCCGCCTGTTTATCCCCTGAGACCCACCTGTCAGTCACCTGCAGGCTCAGTATTCCACATCCTGGACCCGAGTACCCCATCCAGCTCTCTGCCAACTGCAAACACCAAAAACAATCCAAAATCACTGCGGTGTCTCACCTGGTCAGGTTTGTGTCTCACCTGGTCAGGTGTGTCTCACCTGGTCAGGTCTGTGAGTGTCTCTGTCCTGAGGGTCCTGTTCCACCTGTCTGTCTGTGGTCTCACTGGACGGATCGTTGAGGTTGTCCCCCCGTCTGCCAGTAGTTGGACAATAGATGTCTCCGTCCTCATCACTGGACAGACTGGGTTTCCAGTCCAGACTGGACACCGTGGAGTAAAACATCTGCTCAGCCAGACCAGAGGGGGCAGCCAGGTCCTCATCCTGGACCACAGAGAAAACTGGATTTAATGGGACTCGTTTAGCAGTCATGTCCAAAACAAGACAAGGCCAAGGACTAGCTGCAGAGGTCTTTGGACTACACAAAGAAAACTACAAACCCTAAAAGTAAACTAGCAGTGGTCTGGGGCAGACTCCGGGTCCAGGTGGGGAATAAGTTAGTGTGTGTTTATTCTTTTATTATTCTCATTCTGTGTTAACACCACACACATTGGTAATTTATTGTGTCTGGTCACATGGTGGGGTTTGGGGTATTTAGTCAGATCTTCTGTCCACCAGACGGTTAGGGATAGTGGTTCTGCTTGGTTAGGGTTTGTGTATTCGCTGTATTAAATATCCTGAAGCGCTAACTTTAGAATTGATGATCAGTGATGATTGAAGTTTAAGAATCATTCAATGGGAATAAAGCGGCCACACAGGTGCAGCAGAAACACCTTCGCCTCCTCGTCCTCTCGTCCAATCAGAGGACTCAGAAACTGGTCCTGGTCCTCCATTGGCTGCTGCTCCTGCCCCCCCCCGTCAGTGTTGTGCATGTAAGAGAAGGTGCACTCCAGCAGCAGGTCCACGTCCGGGGTGGGGGGGACGGTCTCTGCTGGGTTCTGCTGGTTCTGCAGACCCTGGAGGATCAGGGAGTCCGGGGGAGGGGTGGAGCTGAAACAAGAAGACAGAGGTGAGACACCTGAACAGGAACACCTGGACCAGGTACTGGTCTGGACTTACCCAGACTCCACTGCACCCTGTACTCCTGCATCCGGTAGGTTCTGGTCCTGTTCAGGAGAGTCCTGGTTCTGCAGGTCCAGACCGATGAGGGAGGTTCTGTCACTCAGAGGGGTTCCACTTCCTCCCTCACTGCAGCTGCCGTCCTGGACTACAAACATGGAGTCTGAGCAGCTGCTCTCCGAGAGCCGGCTCCCGCTGCTGCTGTCTGAGGGGGAGACAGAGAGACAATCAGATACAGAGAGAGACAAAGAGAGACAGAGAGAGACAGAAAGAGACACTCAGGTTACTGTCTGTGTCTCAGTCGGTCTGTCTCTCTATCTGTCTGTCTGTCTCTCACCTGTTTGTCTGTTCGTCTCTCACCTGTGTGCCTCCTCCTCTTCTTCTTCACTCTGACAGCCTTCACCACCAGCTTCAGGTCTTCCTGTCCCAACGAGGCGCTGAAACGTCTCACATCAGCTGTCATCACATGGTTTCCATGGAGACCGTCCCATGACGAGACCGAGCTGCTGCGAGAGGCGGACACCTGAGAGAGAGACAGGTGAGACAGAAACAGGTAGACAAAGACAGGTGAGAAAGAGACAGAAGAGACATATGAGAGAGAGACAGGTGAGACAGAGAGACAGGTGAGACAGAGAGACAGGTGAGACAGAGACAGAAGAGACATATGAGAGAGAGACAGGTGAGAAAGAGACAGAAGAGACATATGAGAGAGAGACAGGTGAGACAGAGAGACAGGTGATACAGAGAGACAGGTGAGACAGAGACAGGTGAGACAGGAAGCTGTCCCTCAGTCTCTCACCTGCTCCTCCAGCTGCTCCATGGCCTCCTCCACTTCCTCCTCTCCCTCCTTGCTCGGCCTCTCCCATCCTCCCCCCTCCTCCCTCCCCCCTCCCTCAATTATGATAGCCATGGTTCTGATTGGCTCGGCTGTTTCCACTGAGCCGATTGGTGGGAGGGTGGTGGGCGTGGCCAGAGGGGAGGACAGATGGACGTCCACCACTGAAGAAGAGAGGCAGGTTAATAAAACAGAACCAATCTGTCAGCAGAGGGAGTTTAATAACAGTAGTACCAACAAGTACTAACAGTAGTACTTCTAACAGTAGTACTTATTGGTACTGTTAGTACTTATTGGTACTGTGTGGTACTGTGTAGTACTGGTACTCACAGCTGGAGGCCTGTCCCTCAGGGCTGCTGGACAGACGGATGATGTCTCTGTCTCCTTTCAGGATGAAGATCTCGTTGTCACAACACGACACCGACACGATGTCTCCGCTGCTCTCCAACGCTCCGACGATCACCTGAACACACCACACACCTGGACTCAGTCCTAACCCTCACCTGAACACACCACACACCTGGACTCAGTCCTAACCTACAACCTTGTTAAGACAGATGAGGACACTGTCCTGGGTTAGTCTAGGACAGGGGTCGGCAACCTTTTTGATATGAAGTGCCATTAAAAAAATTAATTGTTATCAGCGTGCCAACGATCGAGAATTATCAACAGGGGGGGGGGGGGGGGGGGGGTTGAGGAGCTTGACGCTTGTGAACTATCAACAGGAGGGCGGGGGGAGCCTCGCTGCGGGGAAGCAGTGTGTGGACCTGTCAACACAACTTACATGATGCCGAATTTAACAAACACATTTAAATAATTGGTTTAAACGGCATAATAATAAGGACGATCGTCCGTTCTGTGATTCTCCAGAACACACATGTGATGATATTAGGGTCATGCAGAGTGAGATGAGATCGCTGTCCCTTTGAGAGAGAGAGAGAGGGGTGTGGCTTGTGCATGTGCGTGTGTGGATGTGCGTGTGTGGATGGTAGAGCGAGAGTGAGGGAGCGTGTGTATGTTTCTGGAAGTGAAACGAGGCAGCAGAAAAACAGAGGTCTGTGATTGTGAAACAGAAGAATAACTAAATAAATGCAACAGCCTCCCAAGAAGAGCTCGCCTCTCTCCAGTCATTTAAGCTAAAGTGGGTTATTGAACCTGAAGCTTGTTGCTTCTGCCCTGGGAGCCGACAGAGAGTCATCCCACCTGTTTCCTCGACTACGGTCTGGGAGCCGACAGGAAAGTTCAACACACAGATGGCCAGTCCGCCCCTTTGTAGCATATTATTTCGATGAGAGATGAGCAGATCGCCACTGGGCTTTCAACTGAAGACACAGCCACGCAAAAACTGCGGCATTTGTACAGCTCCTTATGGGTACTGCAATTTGTGAAGTGCTTTCCTCTGTGGTGAAACGATCAGCCCTGCACCACGGAGGAAAGCGGCAGAAAGTCACCTGGAGTTAAACAGAGCGGGGCTGCGTTGCGTGCATGGCTTCCTTCTGCAGGTAACGGGGAGACGCGCTCTGGCGGCGGTCTCGTTCAGGATCCGAAAATACAATTTAAATATGTTGCTCACTTATTCCACTTATTCCTAGTGTGCCACTGGTTACGGTGCCAGGGGCTGCCGACCCCTGGTCTAGGACGTAGACGCTGAAGTCGTTAACACAGCACTATATGGACGTAGTACCTCGTTAACACAGCACTATATGGACGTAGTACCTCGTTAACACAGCACTATAAGGACATAGTACCTCGTTAAGACAGTCCCGGATGTAGACGCTGAAGTCGTTAACACAGCACTATAAGGACGTAGTACCTCGTTAACACAGCACTATAAGGACATAGTACCTCGTTAAGACAGTCCCGGATGTAGACGCTGAAGTCGTTAACACAGCACTATAAGGACGTAGTACCTCGTTAAGACAGTCCAGGACGTAGACGCTGTACTCGTTCCAGCTGAGGATCCAGCCCTCTCTCAGGAAACAGCTGAGCAGGCCGAGCTGTCTCTCTGCTGGACGGTAAGCTCCGATTGGACCTGGACGAGGAAACAGCTCGAACTGGGGAATCTGAGTCAAACAGGAAGGGATGTTAATGAGGCCAACAGATCAGTCACATTATCAGCAGCATTATCAGTAGCAGTAGCAGCAGCATTAGCAGTAGCAATAGCAGTAGCATTAGCAGTAGCATTATCAGTAGCATTAGCAGCAGCATTATCAGTAGCATTAGCAGCAGCATTTTCAGTAGCATTAGCAGCAGCATTTTCAGTAGCATTAGCAGCAGCATTATCAGTAGCATTAGCAGTAGCATTATCAGTAGCATTAGCAGCAGCATTATCAGTAGCATTAGCAGCAGCATTTTCAGTAGCATTAGCAGCAGCATTATCAGTAGCATTAGCAGCAGCATAATCCGTAGCATTATCAGTAGCAGCAGCATTATCAGTAGCAGTAGTATGGAGCTAATTTCCTGCCATAACTCCACAAACAAACTAAACAGGTTTTACAAATGCCTTATGATTCACTAACAAACACAATGTGGTTTGCAAATACAAAACACCATCTACAAACTAATGAATTTAGTTTTGCAAAGAAAAAACGTATCTATCAAACAAACACATAACATTTTTCTAATAAATCATGTTTCAGAGACAAATTCAGCATAGGTTTTACAAGTACACAACTTTTTTTTACAAGTGCACAAATTTGTTTTACAACTACAAAACTTTTTTACAAGTACAAAACTTTTTCTTCTCACGGCGGAATATTACTGCCAAAAGTCACGTGACTTTTGGCAGTAATATTCCGCCGTGGTTGTGCTCATACACACTCACACATGCTCACCAAAGACTTCAAAATTGCAAGAGTAACCCCCCTGCACAAAAAGGGCAGCAAATTGGACCCAGGCAACTACCGCCCTGTTTCTATACTTACCTCCATCTCGAAAGTCATGGAAAAAATAGTATATGAACAGGTCGAAAAGTACCTCGCAGAAAAGAAACTAATCTATGAATTTCAATCTGGCTTTAGAACATCCCACTCCACTGACACATGCCTTCTTTATTTGACCGACCACATCAAACAAGAGGTGGACGAGGGTAAATACTGCGGCATGGTGATGCTGGACCTACAAAAGGCTTTCGACACTGTCAATCACCCCATTCTGATTGACAAGCTAAAAGCAATTGGTTTTGATAAACTATCGGTGAGCTGGATGCAATCCTACCTGGAGGGGAGAGAACAGATGGTGGAGGTAAACGGTACTCTGTCCCCCCCCCTCCCAGTGAGCTGTGGTGTTCCACAAGGAAGCATATTAGGTCCGTTACTGTTCCTAATTTATGCAAATGACATGTCATCAGCATGTGACTGCAACTTGTTCCTGTTCGCGGACGACTCAGCCCTGCTGGTCTCTGACAGGAGCAGATTGCAGGTTGAAAAAACCCTCAGCTCCGAGCTCGGCAGAATCTGCACCTGGCTCGCCGATAATAAATTATCATTACACCTGGGTAAAACAGAGTCCATTCTCTTCGGTTCGAAACATAATCTCAGCAAATCCGACGACTTCTCAGTTGCAGTGGGTGACATTATTGTCACAAGTAAGAAGGAAATTACATACCTAGGATCTATTCTTGAGGCAAACCTCTCCTGTGACAAAATGGCATCCAATGTAATAAAAAAAGTCAATCAAAGAACTAGATTCCTATACCGGATCTCCTCTCTGGTAAACAAAAACACCCTGAAAACTCTGGCAGGAGCACTCATTCAAGGGTACTATGACTATGCTTGCACGTCATGGTACCATAGCACCTCCAAGGCGCTAAAAACAAACTTCAAACATCGCAAAATAAACTGGTCAGACTACTGCTTGACCTTTCATCTAGAACCCACCTCACCTCTGCCCACTTTGACAACCTAGGATGGCTTAGAGTAGACGACAGAGTACAGCTACTTGCAATGGGCCTGGTCTACAAGATCCACTACACCTCTATGGTACCCATGTACATGTCAAAATTCTTCCCAAAGGTCAAGGAATACCATGATCATAACACCAGAGGGAGCTCCACAAATCATGTAAAACCCAGATTTGGCACAAAAAAAGGGGAATACACGTTTCGCAATTATGCCACATCAAGGTGGAACGCTCTTCCCACAACTGTAAAGGAAAGTAAAACTATACTTACCTTCAAAACCTCTCTTAAAGAGCACCTTCGGGGGAAAGCATTGCAAAACTGGCCCCGGTAATGGTACAAATCTCAACCTGTCGTACAATGGACAGCTTCCCCCCCCCCATCTATGTATATACTCGCATTTTAGACTCTGTTACTAACTGTATATCTGTAGACTTGGTATGTCTTAAATGTCCGGTTAGGATGTATTAGAACGAAATCTAAAATGAAAATTGTAAATAATCCATCTGTATGTAAAACCCCACCTGTATGTAAATTGTAAATAAGCCATCTGTATGTCATATATGTCTTATATGTCTTAAATGATATGATGAATTGGAAATGGGGGACCCTGATGTAAACAAGACGAAAGTCTTTCTCTGGTCTGCATCCCCTTAACAATTGTATGTTTTGAGCTGTACTGTACTGTACCCAATATACAAGCTGTTAATAAACTTTTCAATCAATCAATCAATCAATCACTCACACATGCTCCACGGCAGCAGGGGGCACTACTGAGTCCATTGGGAAGGCGGGAGGTTGAGCAGAGCATGGAACAGCTCTTGCCAGCCTGATCATGACAGCGGTGTTTCTAGGATCCAGCATCTGAATTTAGCGATCACAACGAAAACAGCCAAGACACATATTGAGCCCAGAAAATGAATGTTCTTAGGGCTGTAAATATAATAAGCCTTTGTCTAAAATAGACAACATTGTAACTAAGGAGATTTAAACTATACAGCGATTCTGCACTCGGTCAATCAGCTGCTCTTCATTTTCTTTCCTGCTATATTCAATGAATGATACAAATATTTTTTACCATACGTTCTGAATAAAACTGATACTGTTGGACTCGGTACTAGTTGACTGCTACCAGAAATAAAAGGAAGTACTTTACTGTGTACTTTGTGAGTAATCCTCTGTCAGAGTCCCCTCCATAGTACATAATGCATGTTTTTTGCTATCTTTGATGAATGATAAAAGGGTCATTCCAGAATTGGAGGACAATTTAGACACCAACATTTTTGAAAAATGAACCTTTCATTTGATTATTTTTTGTTATGTATTTAGGAAAAACAGATAATAAACCATAAAAAAAAGTGATTTGCCCAGCTAAGGCATCAAATGTATATTTTCCAATGAAGAATTAACCCTGTTACTCTAATTATAGTAACAGGGTTGCAAGTAACAGGGTTGAAAATCAATGCTAATTTTAGCTTTTACCTCAGGAATTAATGCTAGCTGCACAATGTAATGCTATTGTCAAGGAATGGACACACTTTATATTATATTTATATTTATATATATTTAACAAAAGAAAGATACATTTGAAATTAATTTGTTTTTGTCTCATAATTTGAGTAACAGGGTTGCGTTTGTATGAGTGCCACACTCCTTCAAGAGTGACAAGATTGGAAATATATTACAAATAAAAGAGAGGACTTAGTTTTGGTCTATCCATGGTAGTAGCACATGGCTTGCTGATGTCCTTTCCACTGTGTCATGCGACAAACAGTTTTTTCACTTCCTCTGCCAAGCTAAAAAGGTTTCGGTAACAGGGTTGCGCGCATGTTGAGGGACACACCTTCTGTGCAAAATTACTGTTATTTAAAATGTGTTTATGATTTAACAAATTGATTTTACCATCACAAGACACATATATCAATAGAATAATACCAAAAAAGTAAATAAAAACCCTATTTTAAATGTTATAGTTGACATGCAAGTTGGTCACCAAGAAGCTGGGACAAGAGAAAAGGGCAATTTTAGGGGGTGTTCGAGAGCTATTTGATATTTTAAATAATATTTTGAAACCACTTTTTCTACAACTTTATATGCATCTTGTCTCAAGACAAGTATATTTAACACAACAAGTGCATGTCTTAGCTTTTTGGGCATGGATTATTAGATTTTTTATATGGGGGACATGAAATGTCCTCCAATTCTGGAATGACCCAAAAATAAAATGTTACCATTAGTTCTTAATGAAATTGATACGGTTTGACTTTGTATTAGTAAGCCTACTACTAACAATACATTGAAGTACTTTTACTGTGTATTTTTTTGAGAAATACTCTGTCAAAGTCCCCTCCTGAGAACAAAATCAAGCCACTTAGGCTTACTAATACAAAGTCAAACCGTATCAATTTCATTAAGAACTAATGGTAACATTTTATTTTTATCATTCATCAAAGATAGCAAAAAACATGCATTATGTACTATGGAGGGGACTCTGACAGAGGATTACTCACAAAGTACACAGTAAAGTACTTCATTTTATTTCTGGTTGCAGTCAACTAGTACCAAGTCCAACAGTGTCAGTTTTATTAAGAACTTGTGGTAAAAAATATTTGTATCACTCATTGAATATAGCAGGAATAAAAATGAAAAGCAGCTGATTGACCGAGTGCAGAATCGCTGTATACAGGGGCGGACTGGGACAACAAATCAGCCCGGGACTCTCGACCGGCCCACTTCGGTACCGCCGGCCCACCTCGGTACCGCAAGTAAGCGGCCCACCTCGGTGGTGCCGCAAGTAAATACCGCGAGGAAATTGTCGACGGGGGGGAAGGGGGGGTGAGCAGTGACTTATCCGACCGGCCCACTTCAGTACCGGCCCATCGGGATTCGTCCCGAACGTCCCCTGGCTGTATATATAGTTTAAATCTCTTTAGTTACAATGTTGTCCATTTTAGACAAAGGCTTATTATATTTACAGCCCCTAATAACATTTATTTTCTGGGCTCAATATGTGTCTTGGCTGTTTTCGTTGTGATCGCTAAATTCACCTTGTTTATAATATTATCACTATAACACCTGTCATCAGACTGGCAAGAGCTGTTCCATGCTCTGCTCAACCTCCCGTCTTCCCAATGGACTCAGTAGCGCCCCCTGCTGCCGTGTGTAGCATGTGTGAGTGAGCATGTGTGACTGTGTATGAGCCAGCCACGGCGGAATATTACTGCCAAAAGTCTCAGTCACGTGACTTTTGGCAGTAATATTCCAGTCACGTGACTTTTGGGCAGTAATATTCCGCCGTGAGAAGAAAAAGTTTTGTACTTGTAAAAAAAAGTTTTGTAGTTGTAAAACAAAGTGTTGTAGTTGTAAAACAAATTTGTGCACTTGTAAAAAAAAGTTGTGTACTTGTAAAACCTAAGCTGAATTTGTCTCTGAAACATGATTTATTAGAATAATGTTATGTGTTTGTTTGATAGATACGTTTTTTCTTTGCAAAACTAAATTCATTAGTTTGTAGATGGTGTTTTGTATTTGCAAACCACATTGTGTTTGTTAGTGAATCATAAGGCATTTGTAAAACCTGTTTAGTTTGTTTGTGGAGTTATGGCAGGAAATTAGCTCCATAACCTGTGTGTTGAACAGTACCTGTGTGTTGAAGAGTACCTGTGTGTTGCAGAGTACCTGTGTGTTGCAGAGTACCTGTGTGTTGAACAGTACCTGTGTGTTGAACAGTACCTGTGTGTTGAAGAGTACCTGTGTGTTGCAGAGTACCTGTGTGTTGCAGAGTACCTGTGTGTTGAACAGTACCTGTGTGTTGAACAGTAGCTGTGTGTTGAACAGTACCTGTGTGTTGAACAGTAGCTGTGTGTTGAACAGTACCTGTGTGTTACCTGTGTGTTGAAGAGTACCTGTGTGTTACCTGTGTGCTGAACAGTACCTGTGTGCTGAAGAGGGCTCTGAGCAGCCGGGTGTCCTCCACCTGTCCTCTCACATCTGACCTCCACAGCCTGAGTCCAGGCCGAGCAGCGAACACCTGAAGGTCACTCTGTTTACAGAGAGCCGGCAGGAAGCAGGCGCCATACCTGCCGCTGCTGACAATCACACAGGAAGTGACATCAGACCACCATAACACAACCACCATCAGTGTTAGGGTGTGCTAGTGTGTGTTGGTGTGTGTTAGTGTGTGTTGGTGTGTGCTGGTGTGTGTTAGGGTGTGTTAGGGGCTGCAGTGTGTGTTATGCAGTGTGTGTTAGTGTGGGTTATGCAGTGTGTGTTAGGGAGTGTGTGTTAGTGTGTGTTATGCAGTGTGTGTTATGCAGTGTGTGTTATGCAGTGTTAGTGTGTGTTAGTGTGTGTTATGGGTTCTATTTCGTATATGGCTTCGCCCTCTAAGGCTATCGCTATTGGGTAATCCCCCTGCGCACCCGCACAGCACTGAAACACTTGTAGTCCACGCCCGCCCGCAAGGTGGGCCCCACCCTCGGGCTCCCTTCCGGTATAAATAGGAAGGAGGCCCGGCAATCTGCTCCCTCTTTTTCTTCAGCACCCCGTTACTGAAGCGCAAGAGACACTTTCATTAACAGAGCAATCATGAGCAGCAATTGTGTGAGAGATTGTCCCTCATGTGGCTCTGGATACATTATGGGTTACGACCAGCACACGATGTGCGAATCCTGCCTGGGGCCAGAGCACGCATACGCGGCTCTCAGCCAGCAGGTCGCATGCACACACTGTGCCCGTCTCCCCGCGGACGACAGGAAGCGAAGAGCGGACGCTCTCGCTGCTGTGGCCGAGGAGGACGATTGGCCCGTCCAGGCTTTCGAGCCCGTGGACGGCGGCCTCATGTCCCTGGAGCCGAGTGCCGGGCAGGTGTCGGACGACTCCTACCCCGCCTCCCTCCACGGTTCACCGTACGGTTCTCCCCTCCCTCCTCTCCCCCAGACGGGGGAGACAGAGTCGGAGCAGGGTGCCGGCTTGGCGGACGAGCACGCGGTCCCCTTCTCCGTCACCACGGCGCTGCCGGTGATAGGTGGCATCCTAGGGGAACTACCGGAGATCATATGCAAGGCGGCCGCCTGCAGAGGTCTCCCCGTTCCCCCAGCTCAGGAGAGGTGTGCTCCGGACGATATGACCGGAGTTTTTTCGCGGGTGCAGACGGTCAGGAGTGACCCGGTCTGGCCACGCTTCCCCGCCATCAGGAGGTACCAGGAGGGGGCGGCGGCGAACCCGAGGACTCTGAAGGCTCCGGTGGCCACATTTGTTCACCCCTGTGAACCCCTGTGAACCCCTCACCAAGGTGGAGGGGTTCACAGATGCTGGTTTCCCAGCCACCCCTTCTTTGGAGCCGAGCCTGACGGCGTTTTTTGGGGTGAGACAGGCAAACGTGATCGCCGGACGGCGCCCTACGTTGGCCTCCCCCAGGGACCAGTATGTCGCCCGCCAGGCCGACCGGGTGCACCAGTGTGCCTTTCAGGCGTCTGCGGCGGCAAACAACATCGCGCTGCTCTCAAACTTGGTGGTGACGCTGGTGGAGCGGTCCACCACCTTGGCCGCTGATGAAGCGGAGGAGATCGGCAAGGCGGCCAGCACGGCGCTCACACTGTGCGCGTCCGTCGCTGTCTCCCAGGCGAGGAACGCCGCGTGGGTGACGCAGATTCAGCGCCACCTCTGGCTGCAGCAGGCGTCACTTACGGAGACGGCCAGGAAGGTGCTTCTGGACGCTCCAATCAGCCCGGACGGGCTGTTCGGACCCCAGTTCCACGCCATGGTGGAGTCCATGAAGTCGGCTGCAGAACAGGCGGACGACATCCGCCAGCACGTCAGCTGGCTCCAGCCTGCTGGGCGGCCACAGCGGCATCAACGCCCGCAGCAGCCGCAGCGTCCGACCCGGCCACAGCGGCAGGCGGAGAGACGCCCACAGCCGCGGCGTCAGGGTCCTTCAGCGGCTGCAGGGGCTCCGTCCCACGTCTCCGCTCCCCCACCACCCCAGAGACAAAGGGGTCTTCCAGCGGTGGGTCAACGGGGAGCGAGGCACTCCCACTCTTGGTCTGCTCCACCAGAGCCTCCGAGGAAGCAGAGACGTTTTTGACGTGTTGGGGTTGTGTGGAAAATAAAAGGAGAGTTCATTTTCCAACTTTTTGTCTGAGTCATCAGTATCAAGTGTTTTCTCACCCCCCACTCTGTGTAAGAGCCTGCAGTTTTTAATCTATCGGTTAATAAACTGCAGAGTTCGCTAATTAAGCCAGCTGCCACCAATCTGTTGATTAGTAGACAGCAGGGCTCGCTGCAGAAGCCTGCTGGTTTTAACCTATCGGTTAATGAACCGCAGAGCTCGCAGCATTCCTCTGTCCGAGATACGTCTCCTCCACACATAATAAGCCCATGAGCGCAGTTATGACGCCTCATGTGGACGTCACGGCACACACCTCCACTCATCCCCTGATCCCCTGAGCGTGTACACGCCTCATGATGAGAGCCGGAGTGAAACGCAGCGTGTGGAGGCTCCCTCACAGCCCTTTTGCTCCAGGCCCACCTTGGTTTGCCTCACGGGCTGCGGCGGCGAGGGCTCTGACGTGGCTCGTCGCCATGACGACCACAACACATCTCGAGCATGTGCGCCCGCTCTCAGAGTGTTTCTCAGAGTGGTAGCGCGTGTGTCTGATGGACAGATGGATGAGCAGGCTGATCAGCAGAGGGTCTGTCAAAGCCTGGGTTTCATAATGAATTTGAAGAAGAGCTGTCCTCTTCCCCCCCAGACATTCATTTATCTGCGAGTGGAATAAAACTCAGCCAGCAGAGGGCGGCTCTCGCTGCAGCGAGTGGAGGAACTGACAGCTCCCTATCCAGCGTGTCACATCCCACAGCGTGGTGACAGCCCTCTCCGTGATACAGCTGCTCAGCATGACGTCAGCTGATCACGTGGGGATTCCCCGGGGTCTCCCCCACAGGAGGGGTCTCCAGAGGTGGTTCATTCGCCCACGCACCGACCCCGTGCGTCAGAGGTAAATGTGCTGGAGCTGTTCTCCGGGTCGGGAAGTATTCCAGCACTTCGCCCATTCCAGCACTTCGCCCATGTGTTGATTCGCCCAGCCAACAGGCCACGGCAGCCTACCTCAATCGCCAGGGAGGACAGCCGTTATGCTAACCCGGCTTCATGCCTAAAGCTAAGGTCATCACAACTCTTTTAGGTCAAGAGTGATCACCCTGGCTGGCTTCTTTCCCCCTCCTCAGCAGGTCGGAGGAAGAAGCCACATCTCATCTCAGCTGTCCTGCTATGTGGCGCGCACGGCTGCCTTGCGCCGTTCTCAGCGCCTGTTTGTGCATTATAGAGAGCGCTCGATAGGGCAGTCTCTATCTGCACAACGGCTGTCACACTGGCTGTGTGAAGCTGTGTCACATATGTCTCCGCTGGGGTGGATCCCCCGGAGAACATCAATGCGCACTCCACCAGAGGAATGTTTCCTCCTCCACGGCTTTGCACGGAGGAATGTCAGTGGAAGACATTTGCACTGCTGCATCTTGGTCTTCTCCCGGTTCATTTATTCAATTTTATTTGAGGGATGTCTCCCATTCCTCTCTGACACACCCTGTGCTGAGTGTCCTGTCAGAGTGAGTGACGTCAGGGATCCAGCTGTGCGCCTCTCTCCTGCCTCGGCACACGAAGAGTGGCCTGTATTCCCTCTTATGAGAGGGACGTCCCCCTTTTTTCCCCTGACACATTTCGTACGGAATGTCTTGTCAGAGTGAGTGATGTTGGGGACCCAGCTGTGCGCTCTTCTGCCTGTCTGCACGCAGAGAGCTGCTATTCCCCCTCCTTCTGTCACTGGGCAAAGTGTGACCTTCGTCTCTACTTTCTCACAGCGGACGGGTATGTATTATTCCCAGCCTTCGTCCTCTCATGGTAAATATTCATGTTATGATATATTCCAGGGACTGTGATGCGCCATTCGCATGGCGCAATAGGCATGGGTTATTATCTGAGCAGGTGTGGTTGTGCTTCTTGTACCGGGGCGACCCAGTGGGGCGCAGACTACATCTTGCTTCGCCCTTAACCCAATAGCGATAGCCTTAGAGGGCGAAGCCATATACGAAATAGAACTGAAGTTACCTACTGTAACTCCAGCTTCTATGAGTATTGGCGTAGCCCTCTAAGTTCTGGGCCCCACTGGCTCCACGAATAGCTGAAGAAAAGTTGTTTTGTGTGGGAGCAGATTGTCGGGCCTCCTTCCTATTTATACCGGAAGGAGCCCGAGGGTGGGGCCCACCTTGCGGGCGGGCGTGGACTACAAGTGTTTCAGTGCTGCGCGGGTGCGCAGGGGGATTACCCAATAGCGATAGCCTTAGAGGGCTACGCCAATACTCATAGAAGCTGGAGTTACAGTAGGTAACTTCAGTTACCTCTTGCGGGGCTTGCTGCCCAGCTGCATCACTTCCTGTTTCTGCGTGCAGTAGAGCAGAGATCTGTGCTGAGTGGAGATCAACAGCACCTGGTGACTGTACTCCACCTGAACCACACCTGAAGACTCCTCCAGCAGCAACATAGGCGTACACACACCCTGTGCCAACACACACACACAATATGTATTGTAGGAGACATTTCCTTAGTTTATATTATCTTATCTTTTTAGAGTACATAGCCTGAGATTCTGTGGTGTATATTATTTATTATTTAATTTGAGTGCGTTACTCTGCAGGTCAAGGTGCTGCAGCATAAAAGGAAAGGTGCTGCAGCCTACTGGTGTGGCTGACTGAAGCAAACCGTTTTTAGACCTTGCTGGTTGGGAGCGTCACAGCTTGGTTCTTGTGCCTTTAACATTGAAGTATCTGTTTATATGACAAATAGTTTGTTTAAAAACGTTTATTTATTTTTGCCTTTTTTGGAATAAACTATCTTACTTTTCAATCGCATCTGGACATTTCTATATTTTTTCTCTCAAACTACAAGCGTCTATTCCTCGGTCAGCCCCACGAGTGAATCACTAACAAAGGACAAAAAACAAATGGATATCGTGGTCACTACATGTATTACTAATTGAGAGACTGACCTATGTGAAACTGAAGGGTTTGATGTGTTAGAGAGGACGTACCTGGTCCAGGTCCAGAGACGAGAACACCACCCGTCCTTTATCGTCTCCGGAGAACAGCTTCATCCCATTGGTGCTCCAGGCCAGCGCCGTCACGGAGCCTTTGTGCAGCCCGACCACATCGAACCGCCTCAGCTGCACACAGAAGGGTTTTATCTCCCTGTGAGGACCTTCAGCTACACACACAGAAGGGTTTTATCTCCCTGTGAGGACCTTCAGCTACACACACAGAAGGGTTTTATCTCCCTGTGAGGACCTTCAGCTATACACACAGAAGGGTTTTATCTCCCTGTGAGGACCTTCAGCTACACACACAGAGGTTTTATCTCCCTGTGAGGACCTTCAGCTACACACACACAGAGGTTTTATCTCCCTGTGAGGACCTTCAGCTACACACACAGAGGTTCTATCTCCCTGTGAGGACCTTCAGCTATACACACAGAGGTTCTATCTCCCTGTGAGGACCTTCAGCTATACACACAGAGGTTCTATCTCCCTGTGAGGACCTTCAGCTACACACACAGAGGTTCTATCTCCCTGTGAGGACCTTCAGCTATACACACAGAGGTTCTATCTCCCTGTGAGGACCTTCAGCTATACACACAGAGGTTCTATCTCCCTGTGAGGACCTTCAGCTATACACACAGAGGTTCTATCTCCCTGTGAGGACCTTCAGCTATACACACAGAGGTTTTATCTCCCTGTGAGGACCTGCCTGGTAGAAAAACACCTGTCTGTTTGTCTCACCTGTCTGTTTGTCTCACCTGTCTGTTTGTCTCACCTGTTTGTTGCGACCAGGAAGTGGAGACACCAGCTGGAAGACAGCGACTCGGCCGGATGCTGTTCCTACGGCAACCAGATCATCAAAACAGCTGAGCAGCTTCACCGCAGTGATCGCATCACTCTTCCCCTACAGAGCACCACAGAAGAAAAGTCTGATAGAGCAGGGGTTCCCAAAGTGGGGGGTGGGGGTCTCGATTATTACAAAATAAAAATTGAAAATTAAAGAAATATATATATTTTTTTTTAATCTGATAGAGTCTGATAGAGAGAGTAGAGTCTGATAGAGAGTAGAGTCTGATAGAGAAAGTAGAGTCTGATAGAGAGTAGAGTCTGATAGAGAGTAGAGTCTGATAGAGAAAGTAGAGTCTGATAGAGAGTAGAGTCTGATAGAGAGAGTAGAGTCTGATAGAGAGAGTAGAGTCTGATAGAGAGAGTAGAGTCTGATAGAGAGAGTAGAGTCTGATAGAGAGAGTAGAGTCTGATAGAGAGTAGAGTCTGATAGAGAGAGTAGAGTCTGATAGAGAGAGTAGAGTCTGATAGAGAGTAGAGTCTGATAGAGAGAGTAGAGTCTGATAGAGAGTAGAGTCTGATAGAGAGAGTAGAGTCTGATAGAGAGAGTAGAGTCTGATAGAGAGAGTAGAGTCTGATAGAGAGAGTAGAGTCCTGATGAGAGTGATAGAGAGAGTAGAGTCTGATAGAGAGAGTAGAGTCTGATAGAGAGAGTAGAGTCTGATAGAGAGAGTAGAGTCTGATAGAGAGAGTAGAGTCTGATAGAGAGTAGAGTCTGATAGAGAGAGTAGAGTCCGATAGAGAGTAGAGTCTGATAGAGAGAGTAGAGTCTGATAGAGAGAGTAGAGTCTGATAGAGAGAGTAGAGTCTGATAGAGAGTAGAGTCTGATAGAGAGAGTAGAGTCTGATAGAGAAAGTAGAGTCTGATAGAGAGAGTAGAGTCTGATAGAGAGAGTAGAGTCTGATAGAGAGAGTAGAGTCTGATAGAGAGAGTAGAGTCTGATAGAGAGAGTAGAGATGCGGTCTACCTACGCTGTAAAATGTATTATCTCTTTGATTTACACACGGCATCTATTGCACGTCTGTCCGTCCTGGGAGAGGGATCCCTCCTCTGTTGCTCTCCCTGAGGTTTCTCCCATTTTTCCCTTTGAAATGTGGGTTTTTTTCTCCGGAAGTTTTTCCTTGTACGATGTGAGGGTCTAAGGACAGAGGGGGTCGTTTTCTCATACTGATATTCTGCACAAACTGTGCTGTTGCATTTGCTGTAAAGTGTCTTTACTGTAGGGTATTTTTATTATATGTACAGCACTTTGGCTCGACCAAAAATCATTTAAAAATGTGCTATATAAATAAAACTTGATTTGATTTGATTTGATTTAGAGTCTGATAGAGAGAGTAGAGCACCACAGAATAAGACCGCACCACAGAAGAAGAAGTACCTCCAGGCTGTATCTGTGCATGTTGTTGTGTTGTCTGCAGAACAGGTAGATCATCCCGATGCTGCTGCCGACCGCCACGAAGTCTTTACTGCTGTCCACGGCCGTCAGGTAGACGAGTACTGAGCGGAAGCCCCTCTGCACCTGGGGGGGTCATCTTCATCTTAATCACCATTAACATCATCATCATCATCATCATCATCATCATCATCATCCAATACAACTGTGAGTCATGCCGCCTGCAGAAGCTTCAGATGCCTCTGCAGTGGTCGGGTGTATAGGGCAGTGGTTCCCAAACTTTTTGTGCCCAAGGCACACCAAAGGACAAGTAAAAATCTCAAGGCACACCTATTGTGCAAAATAGCCCTTATAACACGTGTTATCACTCATATCATGTAAAATATCTGTAAATGTGCATAATTATTTACTAATGCCAAATAAAATGTGACAAAGACAACTATATTACTCATGAAATATTTATTAACGAAATATTTCAGAAATTAATTTGAAACTTTATCAAATTAGGCTTCATCAAAGCAGCAACACACTCATTTAAACCAGACAGGTCACAAAATTAAAAATGAGGCAAAGACTCAGCAGAAATGTAGCACAGAGAACTGTCAATGCAAGGAAGCTGCACTGTCCATGGGCCTGAACTACAAATTATAAATGTAACATTTCAGCAATCAGCATTGAAACATGTGCGATTGTAAATATTTTGCCGACTTACAAATTAGTGAGATACATGTGCCTGTCGGGGCGCGCAGATTTTTTTAACCCTTGGTGGCACTGAGGAGAGGGCCACTCGCAAGTCCTGTTCAACAGAGAGCCGTGACCTCCTGTTGTTCTTCATGTAAACCAGAGTAGAGAACGCCAACTCACACAGGTAGGTACGGTAGTGGGAAAAAGAAGAAGTTGCTCAATCGCGTGGTGGGAGATGCTTGGGTACTCCGATGCAGAAGCCAACCAAAACTGATCCAGTGGGAGCTCACTAAATTTGAGTTTCAGTGTGCGGTCCACACGGAGCTCTGCGCACTCCTCTCTCTCTTTCATAGTGAGCTTTTCTGTTGGGAATTCCTGGTGGAATGGGTCTCGGATCCAGTCATAGTCCTCGATGTCAGCCACACGTGGAAAATAGCGGTCAAACCTCTCTTTTAAGGTCTGAAGGTGTTTGGCATATACAACGCGCTCCCTAGCTGCCTGCGGCGCAGCTGATGCCAGCGGGAACATGTCCATGGAGCCCTGTTCCAAAGCCTCGCGCCACAGGATAAGTTTGCCCATAAACCCCCGAATCTTGTCTGTGGATGATAAAATGTTTTCATTCCTGCCCTGAAGCTTGGCGTTTAACTTGTTGAAATGCCCAAATATGTCAGCGAGGTAAGCCAGCCTGGCGCACCACCTCTCATCCGCGAGGTTGTCTTTATGTGGGACAGCGTGTTCACGTGAAAACTCCAAAAGCTCTTCCCGAAGCTCATAAAGACGGGATAGGACTTTCCACCGTGACAGCCAACGTACCTCCGTGTGGAGGATCAGGCTTTGGTGGTCGGCTCCCATCTCGGCGCACAGCTGGGAGAAGAGGCGAGATTTCAGGGGCCTTGATTTGATGTAATTCACCATCTTCTTCCGTAGTATGGCTTTCCATTTCTTTGCAGAAGAAAAACGTCTCTTTGATAGAGTCAGCATCAACATATCTGACGTTTGCCAGAAGTTGGGCAGCCCCACTTATGTCAGTAAAATCTGCCGCTCGCCTGCAGTGCCATAAGACAGGTAACTTTCATGATACTGTCTGCTGACAGTTTTTTTCCTCTTTTCTTTCGGTGGTGGGTTGTCGGCAGTCTCTGCACTGGTGGTTGGTGGTTTGCTCCGCACAAGAAAGCCCTCCAATTTCCCTCTTGCGCGTTTCTCTGTTTTAATGTTGTCCTTCAGCCTTCGATGTGTCACGGTCTTATAATTCCCACCTGTGCAACTGCGTTAACAGCGAAATATGGGGTTCTGTGAGGATTTTTTTTAGGTATAGAGTTTGCCTCTGTATTATGAAATGAGTGCATACAAAGTCCTGATATAGTAAATAAAAAAATTATTATTTTTGTGTAGTTGTATATTGCAATAATAACGTATGGTTGTCACAAAATCCCACGGCACACCTGGACTTGCCTCACGGCACACCAGTGTGCCGCGGCACACCGTTTGGGAACCACTGGTATAGGGGACGGACAGGAGGAGGAGCACAGAGCGCGGGTGGGGGATTCTGTGGAGTGGACAGGAAGAAATCATCTGCTTCTGAATGTGGCCAAGACCAGAGAGATGGTCATTGATTTCAGGAGGAAGAGGACGCTCCTCAGCCCCTGTGCATTCTGGGAGAAGATGTGGCTGTTGTGGAGGATTACAAGTACCTGGGAGTGCACTTATATTATGCCCCTTTCACACCAACGCGTTTTCAGCTCCGCCTCGGAGCTGGAGCTGTAAAAGTACCGGTTTTTCCTCTTCACACCGCAGCGGCGCCGCCTCTTAGCTCCGGAATGCGGTTCACTTCCAGCTCCAAAAAATTGTCGGTCGACTGAAGAGTCTCGTCATGCCTGCCTACAAGCAGTAGCGCTGAGCAAAGTGACTAGAAGGCATCCACACACTTATAAAAAAAAACACACTTTATAAAGTCAGGCAACACTAACCAGGCTTCGTGTGATTCTGTTTATTTGTACCTTACTTTGACCATCCGTTCTCTGTTATTGATCATTGTGGAGAGCAGGCAGACGTTTTGTTTGTTATTATAGCAGCTATCGGATGGAATCAATACATGGGCTGCACTTGTCATGTCCGACTATCACAAGTAGAATCATAATGAAAAATACGCCGGTAAAAAGTGCCTGTAGAAAACGGCTTAGCAAGTAGTCAGTTTAGCTTCGGTTGCTATGCTAACATCACCCATGTTATACCAGAGAAACTTTCATAACAGCGTTGTGATGCCAAACAGCGTCAATTCAGACTGACACACATTCACTTAAGGGGAACTGGGGATATGTATCAGCTGCTTGTGTGACAGTCAGACAGTGAATACTTTAGAGCCGTGTGAGCTAACCCGGAGCTAACGGGAGAATAAACTCCCGTGGAAGAGCAGCCAGCACTGCAGCGGTCGGTAAATGCCGCTGAAACACATTAATAAACAATGAACCACGGCACTCTGGAGAAAAGCATAAGGTTGGAGAAGTCGTTATTTAATTTAATCTGGCTTCGTATGATTAAAAGCAACACGATCATCGACCCGACGCAGTCCCCCGTTGTTGTTGTTGTTGTTGTGACCTCCGTTGGGGAGAAAATCAGCGATGTAAACGGTGACGTCATGACGCAGCAGCGGCAGCTCTGGGCGGTGTGAACAGAGCGGGAGCTGAAAAGGGAAACCGGAGCTGAACCAGAAAAGCTCTAGCTAGGAGCTAGAAAGGGGAAAGCGCTGGTGTGAAAGCCGCATAAGACAATGGGCTGAACTGGAGGATCAACACTGACGCTGTGTACCCCTCTCCACCTGGACAGACAGATAACCCCCCCCCTCTGGACAGACAGATAACCCCCCCCCCTTCCTCTCTACCTGGACAGACAGATAACCCCCCCATAAGACATCAATAATACTGAAAATACCTCCTGTCCATGAGAGACAGCTATCGGTCTGGGGTTTGGGTCAGTACCTTGGCCTGGTTTGGGTCAGTACCTTGGCCTGGTTTGGGTCAGTACCTTGGCCTGGTTGGGCCTGGTTTGGGTCAGTACCTTGGCCTGGTTTGGGTCAGTACCTTGGCCTGGTTGGGCCTGGTCTGGGTCAGTACCTTGGCCTGGTTTGGGTCAGTACCTTGGCTGGGATGGCGTTCAGCAGATAGTACAGCGGGCAGAACTCCCTCAGGACAGACGGCGGGGGGGCGGCCATGTTTCTGTTGGACTCAACTGGTCCTGAAAGTCAATTTAGAACCTGCATTAAGAACCTGCATTAAGAACCTACATACAGAACACTCTGAAACCATCCCCATAGTGCTCGACTGGTCTTACTGTACAGAACACTCTGAAACCATCACCATAGTGGAAACCATAGACTGTATAAAGGACAATATTAACATGATAAAGGAAAAGCACTGTCTCTCCTGATGGAAGCAGGGCGTCAACACACTGCACAGATCTAACAGTTTATCATTAAGATCATATAAAGAGCTGTGGAGCAGATATTAAAATGCAGATATAAGAACAGCAACACAGACCTGATCTCAGCCCCAGCAGAACAGAGACTGTATCCCGGGTTAAAACCGGGATAAAGCCGGGTTAAACTGTCTGTTGTTGAGGGGAGGCTGTTAGCATATTAGCTCCGTTAGCTCCTCTCCTGGAGTCTGACAGCCGGTAACAGACATGCTAACATGCTAACAGCAGCACCGAGTCACTTCCTGATGTAACTGAATGTAAAATAACTCACAATAAAGAGCTGTCTCTCGTTAGCATCATAGAGAAGCAGCTGTAGCAGCTAACGTTAGCATCACAGACTCACCGTGATGAAGAGCTGGTGTTTACATCATCCTGTCTGTCTGACTGACTGACTGACTGTCTGTCTGTCTGTCTATCTGACTATCAGACTGACTGATTTTCTGTCTGTCTGACTGACTATCTGACTGACTGTCTGTCTGTCTGACTGTCTCTCTGTCTGTCTGACTGACTATCTGACTGACTGTCTGTCTGTCTGTCTGACTGTCTGTCTGACTGTCTATCTGCCTGTCTGACTGACTGACTGTCTATCTGACTGACTGTCTGTCTGTCTGTCTGTCTGTCTGTCTGACTGTCTGTCTGACTAACTGTCTGTCTGTCTGACTGTCTGTCTGACTAACTGTCTGTATGTCTGTCTATCTGTCTGTCTGACTGTCTGTCTGACTAACTGTCTGTCTGTCTGTCTGACTGTCTGTCTGACTAACTGTCTGTATGTCTGTCTGTCTGTCTGTCTGACTGACTGTCTGACTGACTGTCTGTATGACTGTCTGTCTGACTGTCTGTTTGTCTATCTGACTGTCTGTCTGTCTGTCTGACTGTCTGTCTGTCTGTCTGACTGTCTGTCTGACTAACTGTCTGTCTGACTGTCTGTCTAACTGTCTGTCTGTCTGACTGACTGTCTGTCTGACTGACTGTCTGTATGTCTGTCTGTCTGACTGTCTGTCTGAATGACTGTCTGTCTGCCTGTCTGACTGACTGTCTGTCTGACTGACTGTCTGACTGACTGTTTGTCTATCTGACTGTCTGTCTATCTGTCTGTCTGTCTGTCTGACTGTCTGTCTATCTGTCTGTCTGTCTGTCTGACTGACTGTCTGACTGTCTATCTGTCTGTCTGACTGACTGACTGACTGTCTATCTGACTGTCTCTTTGTCTATCTATCTGTCTGACTGTCTGACTGTCTGTCTGTCTGACTAACTGTCTGTCTGTCTGACTAACTGTCTGTATGTCTGTCTATCTGTCTGTCTGTCTGTCTGACTGTCTGTCTGACTAACTGTCTGACTGTCTGTCTGACTGTCTATCTCTCTGTCTGACTGGCTGTCTGTCTGTCTGTCTATCTGACTGACTGTCTGACTGTCTGTCTCACTGTCTGTCTGTCTGACTGACTGACTGTCTGTCTGTCTGTCTATCTGTCTGTATGTCTGTCTGACTGTCTGTCTGTCTGTCTGTCTGACTAACTGTCTGTCTGTCTGTCTGTCTGTCTGACTGTCTGTCTGACTAACTGTCTGTATGTCTGTCTATCTGTCTGTCTGACTGTCTGTCTGACTAACTGTCTGACTGTCTGTCTGACTGTCTGTCTCTCTGTCTGACTGTCTGTCTGACTGTCTGTCTCACTGTCTGTCTGTCTGACTGACTGACTGTCTGTCTGTCTGTCTCACTGTCTGTCTGTCTGTCTCACTGTCTGTCTGTCTGACTGACTGTCTGTCTGTCTGTCTCCCCTACAGCTGTTGTGTTTGACTGAGTCTTCAACCGGAAGTTCGTCGGTTCGATCCCTGCCCACTCAACATGTCGTTAGAATAGATTTATTCCTTACTTTAAATTATGTATACTTTATTTATATTTTCTTCGTTCCTCTAACCCACAGACCTGTGTAGTTTTATTATCTTATCTATCTATAAATACATTTATAAAGAAGGACCGGAAGCGGTAACTCAGGCGCTGCTGGCTGGAAAACCTGGAAACTGGCACAAGATATAAATGATCTGTTTACTTTAAATCTTCTTTATTAAAATGAACAGTTAAACATATATCTAACTTCATGAATTCATATTCTGGGACAACCCCCCCAAGTTAAAATAACTCACAGAAACATGTAAATATGAATATAAGCATTAAAATATCCCACATGAAGCCCAGACGGTCCGGTCCGGTGGATCCAGTTCGGGATCTCCCTCTGGCGGCTAAAGCTAAAGCTAAGCTAGTTCTCTAACCGTTAGCTGCTCCGGTAACCGGGTCCGTTAATCTGCCCCTTCCCAATGAGCCTTTTAATTACCGGTACACACGGGTAATAAACGGTAATACTCGGTGATATCCTCCCCCTATCAGGAAGACCCGATCCCCCTTTAGACCCCCCCCATCAGCCGCCAGTCTCTGCTAACGGTTAGCCTCACAGCCAACAACATGGCGGACAGCGGTCCCTCCTGGAGAAAAACATCCGGGGATCAGAGCTCCAAACCCGGGGAGAGAGCACCGTCAGAGTCCGGGGATCAGAGCTCCAAACCAGGGGAGAGAGCACCGTCAGAGATCGAGGATCAGAGCTCCAATCCAGGGGAGAAAGCACCGTCAGAGACCGAGGATCAGAGCTCCAAACCCGGGGAGAGAGCAACGTCAGAGACCGAGGATCAGAGCTCCAAACCCGTGGAGAGAGCACCGCCAGAGACCGAGGATCAGAGCTCCAAACCCGGGGAGAGAGCACCGTCAGAGTCCGGGGATCAGAGCACCCAGCATGGGGAGAGAGCACCTTCAGAGACCCCCTCTGAGAGCACCCAGCCCGGGGAGAGAGCACCGTCAGAGACCCCCTCTGAGAGCACCCAGCCCGGGGAGAGAGCACCGTCAGAGACCCCCTCCGAGAGCACCCAGCCCGGGGAGGTATCAGAGTCCGGTTCTGAGAGCACCCAGCTTATGGAGGTATCAGAGTCCGGTTCTGAGAGAACCCAGCCCATGGACAGTTTAGCAGCAGGGTCTGGAGCCCAGCTGGTGGACTTGTTGCAGAGCTGCCCAGAACAGACCCTCCTGCTGGGCTCAGAGTTCTCCGGGCTGGGTCCAGACCTGGCCAACACCACCATCATCTACGTGCAGGCAGACGGCAGCCTGGTGGAGGGGTCGGGTCTGACGGCTGAGGAGCAGCAGGCCCTGCTGGAGCAGCTGACCCAGCAGCAGGTGGTCCAGGTCTCTGACAGCGAGGCGGCCCAGCTGCTGCATCAGAGCCAGCTGCTCAGAACCACCACGACCCACAACACAGCTCTGGACCCCAGCCAGCTGCAGCAGGTCATCAACCAGGTCACCAAGTCCCAGCAGCAGGTCCAGGTCCCCCAGCAGAACCTGAAGCAGGTCCAGGTCTCCCAGCAGAACCTGAAGCAGGTCCAGGTCCCCCAGCAGAACCTGAAGCAGGTCCAGGTCTCCCAGCAGAACCTGAAGCAGGTCCAGGTCTCCCAGCAGAACCTGAAGCAGGTCCAGGTCCCCCAGCAGAACCTGAAGAACGCCTCCCAGCAGCTGAAGACTGCAGCCCAGCAGGTGGCCATGCAGACCGGAGGCTCGGTGCAGGTGATCCAGAAGAAGGTGAGTCAGACGGGGAGGTTAGAAATCACCATGGTTCTGTTCCAGGTCCTAGTCCAGGTCCAGGTCCAGGTCCTGAAGCTGCCTGAGCTGTTGATTATTCTCTGTGTTAATGCAGCCTGTAGACCAGGGTCAGACTCAGCCAGATCACAGCATAATAACCTGTAAACAACAACATGTTCACATTTATTGACCTGTAAACAATAACAACAACCTGACCTCTGAAGAGCTCAACATCTGCCTTCATCGGTTCATCATGAGGACAACACATGGCTGTATATAAATACACATGGCTGTATATAAATACACATGGCTGTGTATAAATACACATGGCTGTGTATAAATACACATCAGTGTTTCCCCTATATGTATACGGGGCGCCAGCCAGGTACCAAAAAAAAAAAAAAGTATTTTTATTTATTTATTTTGTATACATTAAAATAATAAATCAAATCAAATCAAATCAAGGTTTATTTATAAAGCACATTTAAAAGCGATTTTTGGTCGGGCCAAAGTGCTGTACATGTAATAACTACAATCACATAAAAACACATTTCTATAATCACAATAAAAGACAATAAATTACACAGATGTTTAAAAACAGATATTTAAAAATCAAACACAGGGTTAAAGTCAGGAGTCGTGCTCCGCTCTGACTAAAAGGCCAGGGAGAAGAAGTGTGTTTTAAGAGTAGATTTAAAAACCCCTAGGGTCTGGGCCGACCTCACATGGAGGGGCAGAGTGTTCCAGAGCCTGGGGCCAGCTGCTGCGAAGGCTCGGTGCCCTCGGGTTTTGAGCCTGGTCTTGGGCACTACCAGCAGCAGCTGGTCAGCAGACCTTAAAGCTCTGGCTGGGGTGTAGCACTGGAGGAGTTCAGCTATATAGGCCGGAGCCAGCCCATTTAGGGCTTTAAAAACAAATAAAAGGATTTTAAAATCAATTCTGAACCGAACTGGAAGCCTGTGTAGTGAGGCCAGAATTGGGGCGATGTGGTCACGCTTTTTGTGGCCAGTGAGAAGACATGCAGCTGCGTTCTGGACTAGCTGCAGGCGTCTAATTGACGCCTGGTCCATACCCACGTACAGAGCGTTGCAGTAGTCCAACCTCGAGGTAACAAAGGCGTTAATAACCCTTTCCAGGTCCTCAAACGATAAAAACGACTTGGTCTTGGCCAATAGTCGTATTTTTAAAAAGCAGGTTTTGAGGTCCACCCCCCTAGAGGAGGGGAGGTCCCCCCTAGAGGAGGGGAGGTCCCCCCTAGAGGAGGTGAGGTCCACCCTAGAGGAGGTGAGGTCCACCCCCAAATAAAGCAGGTTAAAATAATTAAATAGCATACATGTTTGTTATGTGGATGTGTAGTATGTGTAGTATTTGTAGTATTTGTGTTACTGTATGTTCAATAAAGGTGATTTAGCTAAATGCACCTGTAGAGCCTGAAGAGCCTTTCTTGTGCAGACACATAGAAACAAATTCCACGCTCTGCGCTCACAGCTGCACATGGCTGCATAGACCCCTAACATCAGACCCTCACACCCCCTAACATCAGACCCCCTAACGTCAGACCCTCAGACCCCCTAACGTCAGACCCTCAGACCCCCTGACGTCAGACCCCCTGACGTCAGACTCCCTAACATCAGACCCCCTGACGTCAGACCCTCAGACCCCCTAACATCAGACCCTCAGACCCCCTAACATCAGACCCCCTAACGTCAGACCCTCAGACCCCCTGACGTCAGACCCTCAGACCCCCTAACGTCAGACCCTCAGACCCCCTGACGTCAGACCCCCTAACATCAGACCCCCTGACATCAGACCCTCAGACCCCCTAACATCAGACCCTCAGACCCCCTAACATCAGACCCTCAGACTCCCCTAACATCAGACCCCCTGACGTCAGACCCCCTAACGTCAGACCCTCAGACCCCCTAACGTCAGACCCCCCTACGTCAGACCCTCAGACCCCCTAACATCAGACCCCCTGACGCCAGACCCTCCTGACACCAGAGTTTGAGAACTTCTGTTTTACTTTCAGCCCGAGCCCGTCAGGATCCAGATCCAGGTTCCTTCCAAACAGGAAGTGAAGTCTGGGCCCGCCCCCCAGCAAGGGATTGTAGCTGTTAATCATCCGCATGTGAAGCTGTCGGCCAATGGCAGCGCTCAGATCCTCCACCTCCAGCCTGTGATTGGCCAGCAGGGTCAGCAGTTCTTCCTGCAGCAGGGGGACGCCCCCATCCAGCTGCTGCTCCACAGCCCCGCCCCTGTCCCAGGATCTCTGCTCCCATTGGTCCACAAGCTCACAGGCCAGACCCCCTCCTCCAGTCAGAAGCCCCCTGTCAGAGTCCAGCCCCCTGCTGTCATCAGGACCGAAGCTAAGACTGCTAGCATCCCGCTAATCAAAACGAGTACGAGTCCCAGTACACCGGTACAGGGTCCCGTTAAACTGGTACAGGGTCCCGTTAAACTGGTACAGGGTCCCGTTAAACCGGTACAGAGTCCCGTTAAACCGGTACAGAGCCCCGTTAAACTGGTACAGAGTCCCGTTAAACCGGTACAGAGCCCCCGCCCCCCTGTGAGGGACAAAGAGCAGAAGAAGAGGAAGAGAGAGAGCAAGGCAGCCAAGGTGCAGACTCGGTCCGGGCGAGTCTCCCGACCCCCCAAGTATAAAGCTAAAGACTACAAGTTCATAAAGACGGAGGACCTGGCCGACAGCCACCAGTCCGACTCGGACGATTATTCCGACCTGAGCGAGGAGGAGGAGGGAGGTCCAGGCCTCGCCCCCCCCCTCACCTGCAGCCACAAGTCCCGCCCCCACAGCTGCCAGACCTGCGATAAAGCCTACATCGGGGCGGGAGGCCTGAACCGTCACTACAGACTGAACCCAACACATGGAGAGCCTGATCCGCCCGGAGACACGCCACGCCCCCTTAGTGACGACAGCCAACCAGAGGAGACCACGGCAGGACGAAGAGAGGAGGAAGAGGAGGAGGAGGAGGAGAAACCTGTTGCCATGACAACAAGCCGAGTGAGAGCCTGTCAACCAATCACAGCTCAGATCTGTCTACCTGTTTACCTGTGAGTGTTAACCAGTTTAATCTTTGTTCAGGTGGAGGGGGGTCCAGCTGCAGGACTCAGGGGCCTGCCCCCCCGCCGGGGACCTGGACGCCCCCGAGGGAGGGGCCGAGGGAGGGGGCGGGGCCGAGTGCTGGGACCGCCTCCAAAGGTGAGTCACACCTGCAGTAACAGGAAGGGAAGTCGTCTTTCAACCAGAAGGTTGTGGGTTCCATCCCAGCAGCAGACACTCCTATAGCAAAACACTGAAAACTGAGAAGTGTGTGTGTGTGTGACTGTGTATGAATGTGTATGAATGTGTATGAATGTGTGTGACTATGAATGTGTATGAATGTGTGCGACTGTGACTGTATGTGACTGTGTGTGACTGTGTATGACTGTGACTGTGTATGAATGTGTGCGACTGTGTGACTGTATGTGAATGTGTGTGACTGTGACTGTGTATGAATGTGACTGTGTATGAATGTGTGTGACTGTGTATGAATGTGTGCGACTGTGTGTGACGACTGTGACTGTATGAATGTGTGTGACTGTATGTGACTGTGTATGAATGTGTGCGACTGTGTGACTGTGTGTGACTGTGTGACTGTGACTCTGTGTGACTGACTGTGACTGTGTATGAATGTGTGCGACTGTGTGACTGTGTATGAATGTGTGTGACTGTGTGACTGTGTATGAATGTGTGTGACTGTGTGTGACTGTGACTGTATGAATGTGTGTGACTGTGTATGAATGTGTGTGACTGTATGTGACTGTGTGACTGTATGTGACTGTGTGACTGTGTATGAATGTGTGTGACTGTATGTGACTGTGTGACTGTATGTGACTGTGTGACTGTGTATGAATGTGTGTGACTGTATGTGACTGTGACTGTATGAATGTGTGTGACTGTGTGTGACTGTGTATGAATGTGTGCGACTGTGTGTGACTGTGTGACTGTGTGTGACTGTGTGTGACTGTATGTGACTGTGTATGAATGTGTGTGACTGTGTATGAATGTGTGTCTGTGTATGAATGTGTGTGACTGTATGTGACTGTATGTGACTGTGACTGTATGTGACTGTGACTGACTGTGACTGTGTATGAATGTGTGTGACTGTGACTGTATGCGACTGTGTGTGACTGTGACTGTATGCGACTGTGTGTGACTGTGACTGTGTGTGACTGTGTATGAGGGGGGGGTGTGTATGAATGTGTGTGACTGTGTATGAGGGGGGGTGTGTATGAATGTGTGTGACTGTGTATGAGGGGGGGTGTGTATGAATGTGTGTGACTGTGTATGAGGGGGGGGTGTGTATGAATGTGTGTGACTGTGTATGAGGGGGGGTGTGTATGAATGTGTGTGACTGTGTATGAGGGGGGGGTGTGTATGAATGTGTGTGACTGTGTATGAGGGGGGGGGTGCGGTGCCCCCACAAATATAATCAAATGCTGTGGGAAACACTGGACTGTGTGTGTGACCATTTACATGACATTATCTAACTGCTTCTGATTGGTCCTCTGAGGTGGTGGGGGGGCTCGTCAGCAGACGGGGTCGCCGCGGAAGACCCCCGAAGCTGGCCGTCACCATGGCAACAGCAGAGCAGCTGGCAGAGAGGAGGAGAGAGCGGCTGCAGGAGGTAACAGGAAGTGAAGACTCAAATAAAGGGTTGTTCTTTGACCAGGGTGCAGACTGACGTGTGTGTGTGTTCAGGTGGTGCAGCAGTGTGGGGACCAGGAGCTGGTGGAGGCTCTGCTCCCTCGACTCTCAGAGAAGATCAGTCTGTGGGAGCTGCTGCTGGCTAAGGTACACACACATGATCTACAGAAGTGTTTCTCAAACATGTTCATACCAAGGACCTCTAACCAATAGAAAAACCCTCCTGGACCACCTGACACACTTTATTATTTATTTATTTGAAATGTGAAATGTTCCCAATATCCTCACGGACCACTAGGGGGGGCCACACTTTGAGAAACACTGCTCTACATGTTTAGTTAGTAGTGTATTTGTCAGTTATGAGAGCTGCTGTCATGTTGATGACCTCACTTCCTGTCTCAGGTGGACGGGGGGGCAGCGACTCGGTTCCCTGACATGTACCGAGAGTTTGAGTCTCTGCAGGCTCAGGTGAGACAGGCGGCGCAGGATTACATCATCAGTCCTCAGGCCGGGGGGGCGCCGCTGGAGGTCCGCAACATCGAGGTGAGGGGGGGCGTGAGCTCAGGTGTGTGTGTGAGCGCAGGTGTGTGTGTGAGCTCAGGTGTGTGTGAGCTCAGGTGTGTGTGAGCTCAGGTGTGTGTGTGAGCGCAGGTGTGTGTGTGAGCTCAGGTGTGTGTGAGCTCAGGTGTGTGTGTGTGAGCTCAGAGGCCTGTACTACGAAGCCGGCTGACTTCAGGGAAAACTCGGGCTTTCCGGTCCTACGACGCTGGTTCTCTTTTTAGCGGGCTAGATCTCCATGGTAACTTATGCTGAGCGGCTAACCTCCTCGGGAGCAGGTTAGGTTGCAGGCTAAGAGATCAACTCAGTGAAAGCACCGCCTGCTGACCAATCAGAGCTCCGTGTGGGAGTTTAAAGCTATCAAGTCATATTACAGGATAGAGGAAATACAGAAAAACTGCCGTTGCAGGAAAGACGGCCGGCAAAAATCAACTGACTGTGTGAACGTGAACATTAATAGAATATCCCCTCCCATCTTCAGAGCAATCTGACTATTATAATATTAGCGTTAAGAAAGCTTACTTAAATATCTGCCACAACATAAGTAACCGGATCAGAGTAACATTAAGTACAGTCCGCGGCACTGCGAGTGCAGACGTCGATGTGTGCCATTATCATTCATATCATATCACATCATAATGTATCATAATATTTCCTTATCTGAGTCAGCTGAGCCGTATCTGGCCGTGCAACACTCACAGTGTCACATACTGTATGCAGAAGTATTATTTTAAGCAACACATTAAGTTGACGAAACACTCGAGTCAAATGTAATTAAAGTCAGATCGTGTCTTAGACGGGGCAGTGATTTCATAAACCTGTTAATGTACGCATTCAAACGCTTTTTCTGTTACCAGCTGTATTCACCTTGCAGGTGCAGCTATGTGGCTTTTATCCTGGATAAAGTGTTTAAGTCATGGATGTTTAAAGTTTAACTTCTTCATATTTGACTAATATTAAAGTTCACTTTTCATTCAGGAAGTATGACGCTGCGCTGTCAGTACGCTTGTCCGTGTTTGAGATTGGTCGAATGCTCCAAATACCACCCCTTTCATGTGAACGCGCACCTAACTAGATAGGACACGGCTGGCTTGAGCGATCCACTTGATAACCAGCGTCGTAGTACAGTTTAGCGAGAGCGTGTATGTTTTGGATTGGGCCAACCGGCTAACTCAAACATATCCAGGTTAGGAAAATCCGGCTTCGTAGTACAGGCCTCAGGTGTGTGTGAGCTCAGGTGTGTGTGAGCTCAGGTGTGTGTGGGCTCAGGTGTGTGTGGGTGCAGGTGTGTGTGAGCTCAGGTGTGTGTATTCTGAGGGGTGTGATCCAGACTCGTACACTCAGGTGTGTGTGTAATAATAATAGCTTAGATTTATATAGCGCCTTTCATGGGACCCAAGGTTGCTTTAGAGAGCAAAGCAGGAGTAAAAGTGTGTGTGTGTGTGTGTGTGTGTGTGTGTGTGTGTGTGTGTGTGTGTGTGTGTGTGTGTGTGTGTGTGTGTGTGTGTGTGTGTGTGTGTGTGTGTGTGTGTGTGTGTGTGTGTGTGTGTGTGTGTGTGTGTGTGTGTGTGTGTGTGTGTGTGTGTGTGTGTGTGTGGTGTGTGTGTGTGTGTGTGTGTGTGTGTGTGTGTGTGTGTGTGTGTGTGTGTGTGTGTGTGTGTGTGTGTGTGTGTGTGTGTGTGTGTGTGTGTGTGTGTGTGTGTGTGTGTGTGTGTGTGTGTGTGTGTGTGTGTGTGTGTGTGTGTGTGTGTGTGTGTGTGTGTGTCTACAGGTGGCCAGGTCTCTTGGGATCCTAGATGAGGTGAACCGGATGAAGGTACTTCCTGGATCGTCTCCCAGTCTGACCAATAAGAGCGTACGATACCTGGAGGTGAGTTCACCTGCACACTCTCAGGTAACACACATCAGTTACCTGACCCTGGCTCAATTAACCTCTATTTCCCAGAATTCAAAGATGCTGCCGCCCTCAAAGAGATTCAAGATGGAGAACCGGGTTCAGCAGAACGGGGTCACAGGTGAGGGACCTGACCGTTACTACACCTGTACACACCTGTCTGTATGTTATCTGACCCTGTGTCTGTGATCTGTCACTACACCTGTACACACCTGTGTGATGTGTCAGGTACAGACAGGTGTGTCTCGCTCTGATCCTGGTCTGGTTTGTGTGCAGGTCCAGTGTTTGGCCCCTCAGGCTCCTCCCCCTTGAAGTCTGTCTCTGACTCCGCCTCCAGGTGAGCTGCCCCCCCCCTCCTGCAGGTAGATCAGGTGACCCGGTTCTGATGAGATCTGCAGGTGTTTCTCCCGTTACAGGATGTGTATTTGTTGTTGTTGTTGTTATCTTTAATACTTTGTTCTGCAGCTTCTTAGTCAACATGAAGCTCTCTCAACGTACATGTTCCCTCTGTGGGACCAATAAAGGTTCTGATTCTGATTCTCAGCTCCTGCCCCCCCGCTGAGGCCCGGACCCTGATGAAGGAGGAGGTTCTGGGACCAGGGTCTGAGTCCGCCCCCCCCGAGGAGCAGATCTACCTCCAGACGGGGGGCCTGACGGTGCAGCCCGGGGACCGGATGGTGATCCTGAACGGGCCGGACGGGACCACCATGCAGATCCAGACCCCCGAGGGGGTTCCTCTGGAGGGGGTTCCTTTGGAGGGGGTTCCTCTGGAGGCGCTGCTGGGCATCGAGGCTCCGCAGTGAGACCTGGACTCTGACCCCCCCTGAGATCTTCCTGTTTTTAAGGATCTGGACTCTGTACATGTGTAAAGTTTTTTGTTTGTGTTTAAACTTTATTGACAGCAGACTCTGTTGTAGATAAACCTGAAGACGTTTAAGAAGTGCACTATTTTATTACTTTTTATAAAACCAGTGACCATGAATTAAACACGTTTCATGTTCCAGAATAAACCGCCTCATTTCTGAAACCACTGAGACCACCACTGAGACCACCACTGAGACCATTGAGACCACTACTGAGACCACCACTGAGACCACCACTGTATGGGTTAGCCCTACCACTGCACACACACACACACACACACACACACACACACACACACACACACACACACACACACACACACACACACACACACACACACACACACACACACACACACACACACACACACACACACACACACACACACACACACACACACACACACACACACACACACACACACACACACACACACACAGAGAGAAAGAGGCAATGAAACAACATTTGTAGAAAATAAATAAATCTTTAATTCTGAATGAAATCTAAAGTCACTTCTGTTAGAACTGGACTTCACACAGGAAACATAAAGAGGTTCTGAATCGGAAGGAACCTCAGAACTGAACCTGGTTCTTCAGCGGGCCCAGTAGGACTTGGTTCTTCAGAGGGCCCAGTAGGACTTGGTTCTTCAGAGGGCCCAGTAGGACTTGGTTCTTCAGAGGGCCCAGTAGGACCTGGTTCTTCAGAGGGCCCAGTAGGACCTGGTTCTTCAGCGGGCCCAGTAGGACCCGGTTCTTTAGAGGGCCCGGTGTCCGGTCTCCAGCAGCAGGGCCTCCAGGCTCAGACGGCAGTGGGGGGGCAGGTAGGGCTGCTGCAGCCAGCAGGACAGGAACACCATGCAAAGGTCGGGGGAAACAGTGTGAGCCACTTCCTGTAGGATCCTCTGCTTCAGATCCAGTTCCTGCCTGAAGGAGTCCAGAAGGAGACCGGAAACCTCTTCTGAAACACAAAGAGGATTACCGTTAACACCAGGACCCTGAAACCTCTTAGGGTTAATTGAACAGGTAGACAGGTAGACATGTGGATAGGTGGACAGGTAGACAGGTGGACAGGTGAACCCACCGAAGTGCTTGGAGCTCCAGCTGTGAAACAGAGGGAGTTTTCTTCCTTCAGGTCCGAACTGAAACTTCTCCAGATCCTGAACGCCACGCTGTGATGTCATCAGGCGCTCCATCTTCATCACAACGACAACCTGAAGGAAAATAAACACCTGATCAAAGAAGACATCAAAGAATACGTTATAACCGCTCGCTGTGCTTCACATACAATATACAATAAAACTGTAATAATGAGCCTTTGAAGTGTGTGTGTGTGTGTGTGTGTGTGTGTGTGTGTGTGAGAACAAGCAGCGAGGACACACACACTGAACATTTAGTTCTAGTTTCTATTATTCTTATCTGAATATAACAACCCAATAAATACTACAGAGGAAATGCAAACACAGCACCTGCTCTGTACCTGAACACGGCATCCGCTCCGTACCTGAACACGGCACCCGCTCCGTACCTGAACACGGCACCCGCTCCGTACCTGAACACGGCATCCGCTCCGTACCTGAACACGGCATCCGCTCCGTACCTGAACACGGCATCCGCTCCGTACCTGAACACGGCACCCGCTCCGTACCTGAACACGGCATCCGCTCCGTACCTGAACACGGCACCCGCTCCGTACCTGAACACGGCACCCGCTCCGTACCTGAACACGGCACCCGCTCCGTACCTGAACACGGCACCCGCTCCGTACCTGAACACGGCACCCGCTCTGTACATGAACACGGCACCCGCTCTGTACATGAACACGGCACCCGCTCCGTACCTGAACACAGCAGTAAATCAAGTTAAATGAAGCTTCACCATTTTGTCGACGACCTCCTTTAGCTTGCAGCACTCGTCCTGCAGATCTGAAGCTTCAGCTGACGGAGGAGGAGGAGGAGATGAAGATGGAGGAGGAGATGATGGAGGAGGAGGAGGAGCTGAAGGAGGAGGAGGAGGAGGAGGAGGAGCTGATGATGGAGTTTCCGACTCGTCCACCAGCCGCTGATCGCTCTGAGAACTGAAGGTTTGTTATGATAATAAAGGCTAAGCTGTACAGGAAGTGAACACCACACAGGAAGTGAACACCATACAGGAAGTGAACACCATACAGGAAGTCTATAGTACATATCTAGATAATAATAGTGATGAGTCAGACCGGCGGGTGTTCACGATGGCGTTGGCGCGGCCGAAGCCCTCGTCGTTCAGGCGCTCCCAGCGCAGCATCAGGTTGTGCCAGTCCGCCGCGTTGTCTTTCATCTTCCGTGCACTTCCTGTGACGGAAGAGCACTTCCTGTTTGTCCCTGTGGTGTCACCTGACCAGACAACATGAAACACCTCAATAACAATAACAATAACAACAATAAACATCATATTATTAATAACGTGTTTTTATGGTTTTTCTCTTCATGTTCAAGAAAATGTTTTTAAATGAAATCTAGAACACAGAACATATAAACCCTAAAGACCCTTATCTTCAGGGTTTATATGTTCTGTGTTATTTTCTCAATACCCTCCAGACTTAAAGCTCCCATGTCGTGCTTTTCTGGTTATTACCCGTCCCCTTGTGTTCTGTAGCTTCTGCATGTAAACGGTCTGCAGAGTCACTAACCCTCAAAGTACACCCTGTAGCGAGTAAAACTCTAACACAGAAAAGACCTGTCTATGCTGCCCCAGAACGCCTCGTTGGACATTTCTCTTTTTCCATTGTTTACTTCCTGGGTATAGTTAAGTTTGGACCAATCCGCGGAGCCGTTACGTTACGTCCACGGAGCCGTTACGTTTGGACCAATCCGCGGACTTCCTCACACACACACACTCGGCGGGACGTTGCGAGGCGCGGGACACGGGACACTGTGAGCTGGCTCACTGGTGTGGGGTCGGCAAGACAGCGAGACACCGCGGAACTCAGCCTGGGCACACACACAAACTCCCAGCCAGGCTGCGGGTGTGTGTGTGACTGTGTGTGTTTCGGGCTGGGTTTCGCTGTGTCTCGCTGTCTCGCAGACGGCCACTGGGCTCACAGGGAGGGGGGGGGGGGGGCAGGAGCTCCAACAAGCCGTTTAGGACAGAGAGTGAATACACATACTATACAGAGATCAGCGACGTGCAGTCAGTGGAGGCAGGGGAGGCTCATACTCCAATGTAATGGAAAACCAATTAAAGAAAAACTAAATAATAATAATAATAAAATGTCTCCACTGATCTTGTGTAAATGTGATTTCTGTATGATTCCAATCGCATTTTATAGTCAAAATCAGCAAATTTGCCGAGCTCCGCTACGGGAGCGATGAGAAGTGAGGCAGGCACGTGCACTGCCTCTCGTAAGCCCACAGTAACTTGCTGGAGCGCGGGCACTAATTTAGCGCAGCCACTTATTTTGTGAGCGCGCTCAAGCCATTTACTGTGGGGTGAGGTGAGGCACAGATGAGCTCTGCCTCAATTCAGAATGCGTCACCCCACAGAAACTGGCTGGAAAGCGGGCCCTAAGCGCATGCCTGTTCCCATCTCACTGTAGGTCACCAATGTAATGTTTGTAGATCCCTTTATTACATTTATCCTCGCCATCCATAGTCTCTAAATAACTTATTTCACGTATAAAATATATTTAGGCTCGCTGGTCTCATCGTACAACGGCAATGAAAAAAGTACCAGGGGAGGCAGCCATAACCTCTGCCGCACTGAAGGGGGCGCACGTGAGCCCACAGGTTCTTGTTGCTACTGTTATTCTACCGCAAACAACAAACTAGACTTTTGAAACTACAGGAAGATAAGGAGGACTTTTACAAAACAGTAATAGAGATTGTTGTCCAGAAGGATAGCATGGACTTATATTCATCTTCAAGTCAAGGTAAGACCACAACTGTAATGAAAATGGGATCTTACTTAGAAAGAACAATCCAATATTTAGATATTGGGTATCCTTTTGTTGATCGGTCTGTTTAAAATTAATCATAGCATCAGACTAAAAAAGCTTTTGAAAATAACAGAATATTTCGATTAAGGTCAAAATAGGCTATAATATTTGTAAATCTGACTCTGAAAGAGTCAGTGCCTCACCAGCCATGAACCTCACCGCACGTCACTGACAGAGATGCTGTATGAGAAACCAATGTGAGTTTGGAACATTGAACAATGTAAATCTATTCTAGTAGACCTCAACAATGGAACTATGATCAGTAGAAATGGCCATGACATGGGACCTTTAAACTCTTATTCTTTCTCTCAACAAACATATTCTGGGGATTCATCTGTGACTATAACCTGTATCCAGTCTGTGACTATAACCTGTATCCAGTCTGTGATTATAACCTGTATCCAGTCTGTGATTATAACCTGTATCCAGTCTGTGACTATAACCTGTATCCAGTCTGTGATGATAACCTGTATCCAGTCTGTGATTATAACCTGTATCCAGTCTGTGATGATAACCTGTATCCAGTCTGTGATTATAACCTGTATCCAGTCTGTGATTATAACCTGTATCCAGTCTGTGACTATAACACATGTAATAACTCCATCTGAGAGATATGATCTCTCTCTTAGAGACCTTATTATGTCCTGTTATTATAGAGTGTAGTAACTTCTTCATCTGAAAAATACAAATAAAAACAATAAAATAAATGTGTGTCCGTTAGACCGGAAGTGACGATCAGCTGACGATCAGCTGTTTGAACCTCGTGCAAAGATCCGCTCAGAGACCTTATTAAAGACCTTATTGTCTCTCTCTCAGAGACCTTATTGTGTCCTGTTAGTATAGAGTGTAGTAACTCACCCTCCATCTGACAAATACTAATAAAAACTATAAAATAAATCCTCGAGCGCACGTGCAGCTTCCGGGTTCGTCTTCTGTAGTGCAGCCTCTTCTTCTTCTGTGGTTTACCGGCTCAGAGGCGCCACAGCGCCCCCTGCCGGAGGGACATCTGAAAATAAATATGGAACAAAATGTAAAATAAATATTAAAATAATTTTGATTCCAATATGAAGATGTTGTTCACCGGTCAAAGTACATATAACATACCAGTTAGATGAAGTGAAGAGGTCTCACTCTCTCTTATCCAGTTAGATGAGGTGGGGGGACTTCTTGGAGGAATTAGATAATCTGCTCTCACACATCCCTGAAACTGGCCCTCCTGCTGTACTTCTCAGAGACTTCAACCTCCAGACAGGAAAGATATCTGAACTAACATCTCTTTTAACCGCCTTTGCTTTCTCACTGTCTCCATCCCTGTTGTATATAAGTAAGCATACTAAACATGTATTCTATCACTGTATTATATAAGTAATCTTGTTAGTGTATATTAGTAACCTACTGTATGGCAGGTGGAGGGGCAGTGATGTTACAGGTGGAGGAGCAGGGATGTTGGCTGGGTGCTGGCAGGTGGAGGGGCAGTGATGTTACAGGTGGAGGACTTACTGGACATGTATACACTCATTACATACTGTACGTAAAATACGACCAAGAATGTGAGACAACTTTATACAAATTCATATCACATCCATTACTGATGCCATTTGTCATACTTTGTTAAACTCACAAATAATAAAGTTCCATAACTTCAGTTGGAAACAAAGACCACACCTTATCTCCCCAAGGCAATTTCCCATCCAATAGGTGTGCTATATAGGTGTGTATAACCCTTTCTCCTGTCTGTTTCTCCCTCTTTCAGCACAAGAACCAGAGGGGGATTTAATAGAGCCTGAATACCTGCACTGAGACCCTCACCCTGCACCCTGAGTCTCAACTCTCAGAGTTTTTCAAGCCTTTCCCTGTTATTTGTATTAAACCAAACATTAAGCTTCCCAATGGTGTGGTCTTCGTTTTGTGAAAAAGTGCAAATGCAGTGTTTGAATATGATTACCTCACATATTTTGTTGCGGCTGTCTGTTTTGATTGTTAAATTGCTCCTGCTGACTTGAGCTAGCCATTTTTCCCTCCTCTCTGTGTCAGTGGGGAAGCCGTACATTCTGATTCTTACTCCTTTCTCTGAGCGATTGGAGCATCCCCAGGCAGCACAGCAAACCATGGTGGAGACGATATGCCAGGACAACACGGAGGAAAGGGCACAGACAAACTGCATGACATGCTATAAAATGTTTATTGAATTCCATGTATTTACAATGGATGTTCCTAAAACAACACTTTTAACGTCATAATCATGTTGCTGCTAGTCCATTGATAGTCACCTGTTGGTCTCCTGTCCTTTCTGAAAGTCATAAAGAGTACATTAGTCATTTAGATTACTTATGTCCTCAAGTACCATGGGATTACTGAAACCACCATGAATTTAAAAAATGGTAGAAATTAATCTAATCTAAATTTTGAAGCATTCCTTGCCATCCCCTCCCTCTAAATATATCAATAAACATTAGGAAGTGATGCTCCTGACTACCATACCTGTTTAAGAAGATAATATTTGTTTTAAATAATTCAAAGCAATACACAACAGCAACAGGCTCTTTAACCAAGGCAACAGCCTAACATGTATATGTTAAAGTAAACTAGCTGTTCACACTATTCCTAATATTATCCATAAATATTAGCAGATTCTATTTATTTTTTAAAACATATTGATGTAAATACATACACATATCGGTATGTTGTATAAATATTGCAAATCAAGACCTTTATTCACTACTTATTACCAAAAATCGTAGTTCTATCTCCGGTAATCATGCATTCATATGTGACGATCAAGCATTTGGAGTGAAGAGGTCTCACTCTCTCTTTTCCAGTTAGATGAAGTGAAGAGGTCTCACTCTCTCTTTACCAGTTAGATGGAGTGAAGAGGTCTCACTCTCTCTTTACCAGTTAGATGGAGTGAAGAGGTCTCACTCTCTCTTTTCCAGTTAGATGGAGTGAAGAGGTCTCACTCTCTCTTTACCAGTTAGATGGAGTGAAGAGGTCTCACTCTCTCTTCTTGGGTTATTTTATTACTTGGCTTTAAATTCTTTATTAATCCGTGTTTATTTTCAGACGTTATTTAACTTCTTGGGTCCTCTCTCAGTTTAGGACCGTGTTGCTTGAAGGCTCAGGTGAAGCTCAGGTGAGTGTTTCTATAAATCACACTGAAGGGATGCCTGTGAAGAGAGTCAGAGTGAGACCTCCTTCCTGCAGCCTCTCTGTGCTCAGTGACGCAGCGGAAGAAGAAGATGAAGAAGAAGAAGAAGAAGAAGAAGAGTGGCTCGGAGTGATCAGGATCTTCAGGATTTACAGACGGACAGGTGAGTGTGTCTCTGACAGGTGAAGTTAGTGTGTTGTTGACAGGTGAAGTTAGTGTGTCTCTATCAGGTGAAGTTAGTGTGATGTTGACAGGTGAAGTTAGTGTGTTGTTGACAGGTGAAGTTAGTGTGTTGTTGACAGGTGAAGTTAGTGTGTTGTTGACAGGTGAAGTTAGTGTGTCTCTGACAGGTGAAGTTAGTGTGTCTATCAGGTGAAGTTAGTGTGTTGTTGACAGGTGAAGTTAGTGTGTTGTTGACAGGTGAAGTTAGTGTGTCTCTGACAGGTGAAGTTAGTGTGTTGTTGACAGGTGAAGTTAGTGTGTCTCTGACAGGTGAAGTTAGTGTGTTGTTGACAGGTGAAGTTAGTGTGTCTCTGACAGGTGAAGTTAGTGTGTCTCTGACAGGTGAAGTTAGTATGTTGTTGACAGGTGAAGTTAGTGTGTTGTTGACAGGTGAAGTTAGTGTGTCTCTATCAGGTGAAGTGTGTGTGTGTGTGTGTGTGTGTGTGTGTGTGTGTGTGTGTGTGTGTGTGTGTGTGTGTGTGTGTGTGTGTGTGTGTGTGTGTGTGTGTGTGTGTGTGTGTGTGTGTGTGTGTGTGTGTGTGTGTGTGTGTGTGTGTGTGTGTGTGTGTGTGTGTGTGTGTGTGTGTGTGTGTGTGTGTGTGTGTGTGTGTGTGTGTGTGTGTGTGCTGAGACTGATTTACAGAATCTCTACTCACTAACAGGAAACAGGAAGTGACTCCCCTCTGACTCACCTGTCTATGGACTACAGGTGGAGGCGGCGTGTTGCAGAGGCGATGGTGCCGCAGCAGCTTCCTGTCGAGCTGTGGCTGCAGGTGTTCAGCTTCCTGTCCTGGAGAGACAAGCTGAACCTGCGTCTCACCTGTTCTCACTTCAGACACCTGCTGGATAAGTCCCGCCCCCTGTGGCGAGGCTTCAGCGTGGTGCTGCAGCACTTCTCCCGCTACAACTCGGCCTTCTGGCGCAGCCTGGCTCAGAGGCACGTGGGCGGCGCCTCGGTGCGTTCAGGTAAGAGGAAACACCTAAAGCAGCTCTCCGCCTGGCTTCCCGCCCTCGAGGCTCTTCGATTGGACGAGTGGAAGGAAGGGGGCGTCGACGAGCTGAGACTCTTCCAGCGGCTGCAGCGCCTGTCACTCACTTCCTGCTCCATGTCGCTGAGGAACGTGGACTTCCTGTTTCCTCTGAGTCAGAACCTGCTGCAGCTCAGCCTGTGCAATGTGCAGCTCACCTGTCCCGCCTCTCACCTGTTGGCCGGCCTCAGTCAGCTGACCCGCCTCACCTCGCTGCTGCTGCACCACGACGGCAGCCTGAGGGTCCCCACACTGAGGGGCGTCCTGACTCACCTGAGCCGGCTGCAGCACCTGTCCTGGACCATGATCACCTACAGGACGCTGGCTCCGGACTTCTTTAGTTCCACCCAGCTCACAGGTAAACTGGTTCATTAATGAGGTCCAGAGGTCAGTGCAGGTACACGGCAAACAGAAACTTCATCTTTTGGTTCAAAACCTCTTTCAGGTAACTCTCAGTAACTACTAGTGTCAAAACAGAGTCTTCAAACCTGGTCGTGTTATTGCAGTACCTGTAAATCCACACCTGTAAACTCCACACCTGTAAACTCCACACCTGTAAACTCCACACCTGTAAACTCCACACCTGTAAACTCCAAACCTGTAAATCCACACCTGTAAACTCCACACCTGTAAACTCCACACCTCATACTTCAGATGAGCTATATTTCCACCTTACAGTGTTGATATGGGAGTGACACGGTGAAACTCTCCTGAGTCGAGGTGTGGAGGAACACTGGTTAAGATTTAAACTCCAAATAGTTACAAATGACCCTAAAGCAGTGTTAAGGTACCGTATGGACCCTAATAATAATCTTTATTCGTAGAGTACCTTTCATACAAGAACTGTGCTTCACAGAAAACTGATATCACAGAATACCAGGAAACAAGAGGTAAAAACACATTTAGATTAAAGGTACAACGATAAGATGTCACTTGGTCACACCTGTCCTGTGATTCATTGGGTCAGTCACACCTGTCCTGTGATTCATTGGGGTCACACCTGTCCTGTGATTGGATGTTTTCTCCTGTCTCTCGGCAGAAGCAGGGGGCCTGCAGCTGTCGGACCTCCAGCTGTTGAACTACGACGCCGTGGTGACGCAGGAAGTCCTGCAGCCTTTGTCCCGCCTCCGCAGCCTTTCAATCTTCCACCTGTACTCCGTACCTGGACCCACCTGTCACCTGCAGACCTGGCTGACGTCGCTGCCGCAGCTCCGCAGCCTCAGCGTTCACGGTGGGTCAGGAAGAGGTTTTACCTGTAGAGGAGGGGGTGTCGTGGTCTGGGAGGAAGATCAGTGTTTAGACTGAGCCTCAGGTGTTACGCAGGTGGAGGTGTGTACGACCATCTGGGTTTCAGACCAGAGAAACACAGATTGTGAGAGGAGAAGCCATGAGAGCGGCTGGCGGACTGAGCGATTATTCTACCACTTGTCAGGGCAGTTAACTGTCTTTGTTTTTTACCTGAGTCTGATATCTTTCCTCTCAAACCGCTGACACACCGTGATGTCATCATGTTTTCACCTGTCTGTCCAATAGGAGGCCATCCTCTGGCGATGTACGCTGACTTCCTGCCGTCGTCTCTCCTCAGTATGACCCTGTGTGTGGACATGCAGCCTGAAGACCTGCAGGTGGTCTCTGTCAGAGCTCCTCACCTGGAGCACCTGCACCTGGAGCCCTGGAGCTCCTCCTCTAGCCTGGTGAGGCTCCTCCCACAGCTGTTCCCTCACCTGAGGACGCTCCGGATCAGGTGAGCCCCCGGCTGAATAACTCCTACATGATCCTCAGGCTGATTGAACAAGCTAACATGCTAACCGTGGTAACCTGCTGTCAGGGGCGGCGGGTACTGTAGGCTAGGGAAGGCTAAGCCTTCCCAAATATTTGTGTCACTGCATCCAGGTCAAATAAAAATATAATGTATAATGTTTGTTTGACATTAGCGCTGCTATGCAGCCACCTGTGCCCTGTGCACTACGAAGCCAGTTCAACATACGCTGGATATGTTTGAGTTATCTTAACTAACCCTAACAAACGAGGTCTCGCTAAGCGGTCCTACGACGCTGGTTATCAACTCGGTAAATCAAGCCAGGGTTTCTCTCTCCAGCTGAGAGCGCGTTCACGTGAAAGGGGCGGGGTTAGCTACATTTGACCAATCACAAACAGGGACAAGTGTACTGACAGCGCAGCGTTATACTTCATTAATGAAAAGTAAACTAATATTAGACAAATATGAACTTTAAACATCCATGACTTAAACATATAATCCAGGATACAAGCCACATAGTGGCAAGGTGAATATAGAACAACTGGTTAAAAAATAAATAAACTACCGAGTGTTTGAAAGTGTACAACCGTTTTATGATATCACTGCTAAGACACGAGTGGATCTGACTTTAATTACATTTGAGTTGAGTGTTTCGTCAACCTAATGTGTTGCTTAAAATAATACTTCTGCATACAGTAGGCTATGTGACAATGTAAGTGTTGCACAGCCAGATACGGCTCAAGAAGCTGACTCAGATAAGGAAATATATGATATATTATGATATTATATGATCGATGATCTGATTGATGATGTGATATGAATGATAAGTGCGACACGTCAGCGTCTTCTCTGCAGACGGCAGTTTAAACTGTATTTCCTTTATCCTGTAATATGACTTGATAGATTTAAACTCCGCACACTGAGCTCTGATTGGTCAGCAGGCGGTGCTTTCATTGAGTTGATCTCTTTTCTATAGACGCCGGAGGCGGGCAGCGTCAGGTAAAAAAAGTAATTTAGCCTTCCCAAACCTGAGACTCACGCGCCGCCTATGCCTGCTGTGTGTTTCAGACACCAGCACCTGTCTGACGATGACTTCCTGTGTGTGCAGCAGCTGCAGCGCCTTCACACTCTGGAGGTTCTGGACTCGTTCTACAGACCCGACCCGATGGACCCCAGCTTGGTCATATACCAGCCCAGTCCTCGTCTGATACACATGATCTCTGAGCTGCAGAAACTGACCGATCACAGAGTCCACGTCATCACCAGCTCACACAGAGACCCGCTGTCCTGCCACTGTGTCTGACCAATCAGAGAGAGAGTCCGACCAATCAGAGAGAGAGTCCGACCAATCAGAGAGAGTCCGACCAATCAGAGAGAGTCCGACCAATCAGAGAGCGAGTCCGACCAATCAGAGAGAGTCCGACCAATCAGAGAGTCTGACCAATCAGAGAGTCCGACCAATCAGAGAGAGAGTCTGACCAATAAGAGAGAGTCCGACCAATCAGAGTCTGATCAGCCTTATAACCTTCATTTCTCTAATGCTGGATATTTATTAGATGTATTTTATAATAATTATTTTTGTAATCCTTTGCTTTGTGGTCAAAAAGGATGTTTTTGTTAAAAGTACTGTAATTAAACGTTAAAACGTAGTGATGTCACTGTGTCTTCAGATCCCCCACGTGTGCAATATATTTAAACTCTGTATGATGTTCTGCAGTCACTAACTAGAAAATGCATTTCCTGCAGAAAATGCGTGTGAATGCTGTAAACTGTGAACATTTGTGGCTGAATTTAGCTGAAAATGCAGAAAAAGCTGAATATTTAAAAGAAAAGGTTTAAAAAAAAAAAGGTATAAACAACATGTATAGCCTTGATGTCCTGAAATAGCTGAATAATGTAATAGTTGAATGGTTTCTGCAGCTGAAAATAGGCTGAAGGAGTTAAATATCAGATGTAAGTAGTAGTGAATGAATTTGTATTAAGAGAAAAGAAAGTAAAAAGGCTTGGGAAAGCAGCAGAATATTTTGACTGCAAACTTTTCGACTAAAACCATACGTCACCAATAATGTATAAAATATGTGGAACCTGTTGAAGTCAGTATGAAGTCTCCATCAGACAGAGACAGTCTGTTAAAGTCCAGTCTGTCAGTGTTTGTTTCTGTTCCTGAGCACCTACTCATAACACCCAATCATAACACCTGTGTGTGTGTCCAGAGATCAAAGGTTTCCATGGTGTCTGTTCTGATTAGATGATGTGACTCAGGTGTGTGTGTGGCTCCAATCTGCCCATCAACACCATGACAACCAACTGCAGCACTGAGTCCCATAAGAATGCATTGAGAAGTATATCTAACAATTTTGCCACCTGTTCAAAAACTATGGCTCCTATACAAAAATTACCAGACCGTGAGCATCAGGGAACCCCAATGAACTGATATATGTTTTTTTGGGGGGTTTTGTGTGTCAAATGTGAAGATGGGAGCAGTTTGTCTAAAGTTGACTTCTCTCTGTTCTGAAGAAAGTTCCGGTCAAATTTAACATGGGAGTCTATTGGGAGCTAGGTGGACTTTTTGTCACTCTGATCACTATTGGGCCAGAACGGTGTGTGTCCGTTTGATATGAAGGCAATTGAGCGGCCAGACTAATAATGCTCCTGAAATCTTTTGAAATTATTTGAATAGATTGTATATTTTGGCTCTGAGAGCAGTTTTAAAATATTTTTTCCGAAGATTTTTAAGACCCTCTACACTCCAAGTGATGATGTCACGCACTCTAAAATCTAAAGCAGCCTGTACATTTACCAAAATGTAAACGTTGATAAGTCAAAAACCGTAAAAGATATCAAAAAACTGAATACGATTTGAATAGCTGAAGGTCTTGTGATCATTTTAAAGTTGGAATGAAGTCTGTAGCTGAAAGTATGTGGAAGGAGTAGCATTTGGCGCAAGGTGTAAGAAAAGAGGATTTGAAGGCATCTCCCATTGACTTCCATGTTAAAAAAAGTTTAAAAAGCTGAATATTTCAAAAAGCATAAAATATTTTAAAAAAGTTAAAGGTTTCCCATCGATTCCTGAACAGGCTGAATAGTTTGATATTTGAATGGTTTCTGTAGCTGAAAGTAAGCTGAAGTTATGGAGCCAAAGTATGGTTGAAATAATAATGGGAAGAATAAAGATTTGAAGTACTATAGTATAGTATTATCTTTATCAATAATACACCTGCAGGGTTCCTCCAGGGACAAGTGTGACAGATCAGTAAAAACAGGTAGATAAACTTTTTGAACATTGAGAGATTGAACATTGTTTATTAAACAGGAAGGAGAATACTGTCAGGACTCCCTCGAGCAGCAGCACTGGGTGTTGCGGGGGTGTGCACCTCGCTCTGGATGGGGGCGTGCCGTAAACACCTCGCTCTGGATAGGGCGTATGCACCTCGCTCTGGATGGGGGTGGGCGTACGCACCTCACGCTCTGAATGGGGTGGGCGTACGCACCTCACGCTCTGGATGGGGGTGGGCGTACGCACCTCGCTCTGGATGGCCATACGTACGCACCTCGCTCTGGATGGGGGCGTACGCACCTCACGCTCTGGATGGGGGTGGGTGTACGCACCTCGCTCTACACACGCGTGTGTAAACCTCGCTAACAAAACATATACATTCTGACAAACTCCAAGCATTGATTTTGCCAGAATGGGCTTCCATCAGATGTGGCCCTGAAGTCAATTGACAGAATGCCAGGGCGAGTTGCCGTGGTCTTGAAAAAAGGGTCAACTGCAAATATTGTCTCTTAAACTTAAAGGTGGGTAGGTAAGTTTGAGAAACCGGCTCGAGATACACTTTGTTATATTCCATGGAATGCTCTTAACATCCCGATAGCAATGAATATCTGAAGTGCTTTGACAAAAAAAATTCCGAAAGCAAATTCATCTGTGGAAGCCGTAGTACTGTAAAAAGCACGACCAATCATTTTAGCCGGCCCGGCTAAAATAACTGGATGGCCTACCTGCCTGTCAGCCTTCCATCTGTGCACAAACTTATCTCGTGCCCTCATTGGTCATGTGCGCGTTCGTGTGTGTTGGAGGAGGGGCTCTGTGAGGAAGTGGCAGATTCTTTCCGGCTGTGTATTTTCAAATTCTAGCGATCTCGAGCCGGTTTCTCAAAATTACCTACCCCACCTTTAAATGAACTGTCAATAAAAGCCATTCAAACTGAACACTGACTTTAATACCTTCATCCATTACTGCCAACACTGATTTAATGTACATTCATATTTGAGAGACATCTCAGCCCTCCCTGATCCTTAGACACAGCGTGCCGACTCGCATTGATCTGAACACTCAGGATGCACCAATTACAGAAAACAAAAACTTTTATTTTGAAATTACAAACAGGCTTCCTGTTCAGGTATTTACAGATGAAAACAATAAAATGTATAAAAAAAACAAAAAAGCGTCCTCTTTTCTTTCTGCATTCAAGCAGTCCATTATAAAACTCCCAGAATGCTTTGCATTCAGACAGGTGACAGCGGGCGCTCCACGCCATCACTCCGACGTCTCGTCGTCTTTCTGTTTCTTCTTCTTTTTCTTCTTCTTGGCACTGTCCACAACCTGGAGGACAGAGGACACGTTAAGGACCTGTCCACAGTGAGCGTTTACATCTTATAGTGTCAGCACATCACTTCCTGTCTGTAACCTCACCTCTGGCTCCGCCTCCACTGGCTCTGCCGCCTCTTCCAGTTTTGCCTTCTTCTCTTTCTTCTTCTTCTTCTTCTTCACTTCCTCTGCAGACGGCGTGCAGGGAGCACTCGCTACTTCCCCGTCGCTGTCGGCCTCCCTCTTCCTCTGCAGAAAGGTTAAAGGTCAGATTAATATCACATGCACAGGATAGAACCGTCAGTGGTGGGGCAGGGTCTGGGTCTCACCTTAGTGGTCGTGTCACCTGACGCCTCAGTCTCCTTGGAGGCGCTGTAAACAAAAACAATGTAAACACTTAAAATCTAAGAGGATAAGAGTTACTCCAGAGTGTTCAGTTATTAACACATGACTGTCCTCAGAGAGCATCAGCGCAGCATCAGCTGACTGAGTCGCTCCGAGCTGAGAGATTCTGTAGCAGAGCGACTCCCCCCGAGAGCACGGCAGCGCAGGGGGGGATAACTGTCTGCAGCACCTGAAGCCCCTCCCCTCAGTACATGTAGCCCCTCCCCATCAGCACCTGTAGCCCTTCTCCCTCAGTACATGTAGCCCCTCTCCCTCAGTACCTGTAGTCCGTGTATCCCTCCTTCCAGGCGGTGGGCGTGCTGCCGTTGGCTTTCCCGTGTTTGTCGAGCAGTCCTTTCTGGATCATCATCTTCTTCTGACTCGCCTGATCAGGGAAAGAATAACTTTATTAACACAGAACTTCATTACAGGGATGCAAACTCATCAGGTATGAAAAAGGTGACAAGGATCCGAGCCCCCCCGAGATATCGGCTTTAAAATGAGGAATAACAGGATGTTAGCAGTCAGAACAACTAAAGCAGTTCATAACAGAAATGCCAGAGTCACATCTAATAGAAATATATAAAAGCATTTATTTGAATTGTGTAGCTGTCAGTTTATAATGTTGGCAGCACTGTTGAAAATGTATTTTCATGCCTCTGTGCAAGGCTTGCGTCTTTCTATCTTTATAGTCAGAGGTGTAAAGTAACTAATGGCGCATTTCCATTGCAGCGCGTAGCTCGCTTTAAGCGTGCCGTGTCGTGCCGTCCCCTTTTTTGGTTGTGCTTCCACTAGGCCTAGTCCCGGCGCGGCACGGCGCGGGGCCACTTTTTCCCCTCTTTTCTGGCCCTAGAAAATTGTGGTTCTATCGGGGCCAACAAACAGGGCTGAGTCGGGCTGAGTATGCTAAACTAGAGAGAGGAGCGCTGGCAAGAGGGCTAGAACTACAACAAGATGGACATATTTGACCGTGATTTAATTGTAATACACGTTTCAAAATGATGCCGAAGTAACAACATACTGATACCGGTTAGTAAAAACCATGAATTAATGCTTTGTCAAGTCTGCACAGACGGCAGGCGAAAAACCTTTTAAAATTCGTGTTTTTCTAGATGGAGATTGGCTAAGCTAACGCAGTATATGCCCCGACCGTCCACACTCGCAACAACGGCCTATACAGACATAAATAAGGCAGCGACTGTATTCACCATGACACAGGCAGTCTGTGGTGTGTACTTGTTTAACTTTTGTCGAGTTTCTGAACATATATAAGGAGCTGTGAGCTCTGAGTGCTCACAGCTAACGACTGTGTTGTGTTTCTGGATTTCTCATTGAAGATGATGTCACGGCTCCGCCTACACTGCGTTACTATAGTAACTACCCCAGTTCCTAAACTGTAATGGAAGCGCAGCATGAAGTGAGTCGGCCCTGTTAAGGCCCAACGCGGCCAAGCCGTACCGAGCCGTACCGAGTGTGGCCGAGGCCGACCGTGTAGTGGAAATGCGCCATAAGTTCATAAACTCAAGTACTATACTTGGGTACAATTTTGAGATACTTGTACTTTATGTAAGTATTTCAGTGTTTTGCTACTTTGTTCTTCTACTCCACTACAGTTCAGAGGTACATGGTGTACTTTTCCTCCACTACATGCATTTAATACCTTTAGTTACTTTA